GGAAGGAAGTCATATGACTCACAGGACCCTTTCCTATAATGAATTCACCAGTGCCACCCACTGAGTAGCACTGAAGTTAATCTTCTGCAAACCATCAGTAGAACACCTCTGTGCCACGATCTGGATCACACACATTTGTAGGGTAGTTCTTTATCAACTTTATTTCTACTATCAATATTTGCCTGTGATAACAAGTACTCAGGAGTCTCTTTTGTTAAACTGTATTTTTCTGGAAAAGTGTCCATTATTCCGTGTTCTCATCAAAACCTGGATTGCATAGACATCTGAAAGTTAAAATGGTAACAAGTTAACTCTAGTTTCTGCTCTACCCACACCACTTTCTCCCACCCCAAGTGCTCCCTATCTAACTGACAACACCATCCATCCAGTTTGTAAAAGACAGAAACCTAGGAGTCATCCTCATCTCTCCTTCCTTTACCCAATCCTCCCATCTATCGGTAATGTATTCATTCTAGCTCCAAAATGGATCTGGAATCTCCCCATTTCCCCCATCTCCAACGCCTTCAGTTGAGCTTTCCTCTTTTGGTCTTTGTTTTGCCTCTTCTATTCTTTACTTCCCCAATCAATTCTCAACACAGTAGCTAGAATGCTTTTCTTAAAATATCAATCAGATTATGTTACCAACCTCACTCTCAATGCCTTTGCTCAAAACCCATCCGTATTTTCCTTCAATGTTAGTAAAAATTCAAACTCCGCCACAAGGTCAATAAGGCCTTAGCTCATTGAGTGTCAACCATGTTCCCAACTTCATTTCAGGTAACTGTCCCCTTCGCATCACAGTGGTCCAAGAACTTCCAGTTCCTGAATGATGTCAAGTTCTCCCCCACCCAATCTGGTTGCTTTAAACTGTTCACAAGTCCAATTTCTTCCTATTCTGGAAACCCTCTTTCAATGTACTTCCTTAGAGAAGCTTTGACGGCCATCCTCCCTGAAATTGATGTTTCACACCATCACTCTTGGCCAAAGCACCTTGTTACTATCCCTCCAGCACTTAGTAAACTTGCAGTCATTTTGTTTACTTGTCTTTTTTTCTGTATTCCTTCAGAATGTGTGGTTAATGGGGATCGTAGCATGTCTATGTGGTAACCATTGCAATTGCATACTTAGCATAGTGCTGGACAGCGGAGGGAGCCCTCAATTATAAATGTTTACTGAGTGAATGAATGAATGACCTAGATCCAAAGGAACAACAGCTACGAAGGGAGACACTGTGAAAGAGGAGAAAGCTCAGTGCAGGGCTGTAACATGGACAAATATCTTTCAGTGCTAGCTTCCCCCAGTCCATTCCCATCCTCTGAACAAAGCCACCCTTTGTACCTACCCAGGGGTGCAACAATAACACTGGCAGTTGGCTTCCTCAGGAAGGCTGAATTGCATTAAGCCTGGAAGAAATTGATCCATCTCATATATATATATACACATATATATATATATATATTTCATAATCTATGAAATAACTTTATGATATATATATGTCTATGGCCAATCTAGGATATCAACATAAGTTAGTATTTTACGTGATTCTATTTTATGTATCGTCTGTCAATACCACTAAGCCCACACATATGCAGAGGTATTTCATGAGAGGTATTTCATGACCACAGCTCCAATAATTGAATGCCAATCTCTCTGTAGCAATGTGCTAGAGGCCGAAATAATCTACTCTGAGAAATGTCCTTCTCATCTCCCTAGACAAATATGTAAAGCCAGCACTAATGTGCCAACATGACAAAAGGACGGACACTGGATACTGACAGATCCAGATACTGGATCTGGACCAAGCTATCTGACCTCTCTAAATCTCACAGGAACCTCAAGTGCTTGCCCAGAGCCTGGTGTCCAGTGAGCACTCAGAGTGAGCTAAGACCGTCACCACCCTCTGTCATTAGCAAGCCACAGTGCTGTCCTTAGGTGTTTGGAAGAAAGGAGAGCAAATGCAAAACCCTAGAGATGTATATTTAGAAGCAACTGTATTCTCTGAGGTACTCTAAATTCACACAGGGGCCTGTGGTCAAGGGAGACGAATGCAAATGGTCATTAGTGTCCTACAGTGTAATCTGGATCAACTACAGAGACAGGCATCTAGAAGCTGCCTTAGGTCCAGCTAAGTGACTTCTCCAGGTGTCAGAAGACTAGGAGGTATAATCTTCTCTAATGTTTATTACAGTATTGCTTTATATTAGCAGTTCTCAAAGTGTGAACCTTTGGAACCCTAAAGGGACTCAGCTTTCCTTGGCGACCCCTATGGAAACTAAGTTTCCAAAGGTTCCTTGAGGTCAAAATTTATTTTGGTAAATGGTAACAATACTAAGACATTAATTGTGCTTTTTGTATTCTTACTCGGTCATAAATATCCAGTGGAATTTTCCAGAGGCTACATGACACATGATATGACCACAGACGGAATTCAGAAGCAGACACAGAGAGCAGCGCTCTGCTATTAACCCAGACCTTGAAGAGATTTGCAAAAACATAAAAAAGTGCTCGTCTTCTCACATTTCCTGTTTTGAAAAGTCTGATTATTTTTCATAAAAATATCTGTTACTGCCCTGGCCAGTTTTACTCAGTGGTTATAGCACCAACCTACAGACAAAAGGCTCTCAGGTTCAATTCCCAGTCAAGGGCACGGACCTTGGTTGGAGGTTCAATGGGTCATGTGGAGGCAACCGTTCAATGTGTGTCTTTCACACTGATGTTCCTCTCTCTCCCTCCCTCCCTCTCTATCTAAAAATCAATTAAAAAATATCCTCAGGTGAGGATTAACAACAACAACAAGAAATCTACTACTTACATCAATATGTACAGATTTTTTATTTTTAAATAAAGATATGTTTTAAATCCCATTCTCAACTTTTAATATGGAAAATTTTCACAGCTATAACCCATACATCAAAAGTTCTTTGGGGATATGCCAAAAATGTTAAAAGTTTAAGGCTCTGTTGGGCCCTCACTTCCAAGATTATCAAAAGAGAATGAAAAGCCCTGGCCAGTTTGGCTCAGCGGTTAGAGTGCTGGCCCACAGACCTGGCCCCGGTTGAAGTTGTGTGGGTGGCAACCACTCAATGTGTCTCTCTCACATCGATGTCTCTCTCTCTCTCTTCCTCCATCTCTCCCTCCCACTCTACCTGATAATAAATGCAAAAGCGTCCTTGGGTGAAAATAAAAAAATAAAAAAAGAATGAACAATGGTTATGACACAAGGGCCACGGCCATATGCAGCCTAGAAGCTACACCAACTGTGCCCGGTGCTGCCCAAGGACCAGGCCATTAAGAAGTTCCTCACTGGAAACACAGCAGAGGCCGCAGCCCTTGGGGACATTTCCCAAGCGAGTGTCTTGGAGGCCTCTGTCCTTCCTGGCTGCATGTGACACTACATCCCTGGGTGAGTCGTGCCATTCACAGCACGGTGGTCAGGAATCCTGCTGGAAGGACCGACACCCCCAACCCGATTTAGACCTGCGGGCACTGCCCTGTGACCGCCACCACAGCCCATGTAAGGAGCTAAAGCCTAGGGGCTGAGGAAAGAGTCTCTGGGGAAAAAGAATATGAAAATTACATGTAAAATAATTTTTTTCAAGTTTAAGAGGTCCCAATTCTAAGACGTTTGAGAACCATTCATAACCTGGGGTATGCAGTGAGGAGGTTTTAAAAGCATAACCCCTTTAATCATGTATAAGGTGCATGGAGGGAGAGGGGCGTGGGAGAGAATTTCGGAAATCTATAGGGCGTACTGTCATTATTATTCATGGTGTTAAGTGAGATAACAGAGAAGGGATAGTTCAAATGTAAAAGTGTGGTTTGAAATACATGGCGCAATCAGAATCCTGTCCACCCTAAGCCATCCGACTTAGACTTCTGTGGCAGAAGCTGATTCTCACTGGCAGATACAGCTCTAGCCACCCCAGTGCACAGCCGAGGAAACATTAGAATTCCCCCAGGGCAGAAGCAGAGGAGTGAAGGACCCTGCACCCACCACCCCCTCCCTACACCCCAGAGAAGGGGATGAGACTCCAAGTGCATAGAAGCAGCAGCCTCAGAACGTGAGAGGCATAAACCCATTTGTTGTGTGTTCTCGATAGTCTATTGAATCAAGAACACAATTCAGTATATAACTGGAAATCAACTATTAGTCACAAATCTAAATATTTTGCTCAAAGTCTACTCATTTTAACTTTTTAAAATACTGCTTAAAAACTTTTAAAATGTAAATCAAAAACACTGAAATTTGGATGACTTTGTTGCTGCTTCTCAAAATGTACACGTCTAGGTCGTTGTCCTAAGACACGCTCTGCTCAGGGAGGGCACAGGAGCGGCTGGTTTGAAAACCAGCAGCTTCCAGACCTTGGCTATTGAAAATAGTGCCGCTGTGAACATGTGTTCTTTCCAACTGGTGTTTGAGGCTTCTTAGGATATATTCCTAGAAGTGTCCATCAGTAGATGAATGGATAGAAAAGCTGTGGTACATTTACACAAGGGAACACTATGCAGCTAAGGAAGAAAGATCTCTTACTCTTTGAGACGACTTGGAGGGACCTGGAGAGTATCATCCTAAGTGAAATAAGCCAATCAGAGAAAGACAAATACCACATGATCTCACTTACTGTGGAATATAATGAACTAAATAAGCTGATGAACAAAATAGATCCAAGGATATGGAAGTAGGGAAGAAAATGAAAAACCTCAGAGAAATTGAGCATTGGGGGCAGTAGGGGAGATAAACCAAAGAATTTACATGCACAACCAGTGGACACAGACAACAGTGTAATTACAGGGGGGTGAGAACAGGGAGGAGGGTGTCAATGGGGGGAAAAGAAGGGACAACTGTAATACTTTCAACAATAGAGACAATTTTTTAAAAATGCCCCCGCTATTTGGCTCCTCACATGAATTTTCACCAACATCAACCCCCACACTCTAGCTAAAGCATTAGCTCACACTTCAGCTAAGACACTTCTAGCACGAATACGTTTTGAAAGTACCTCAGCATTTGCAGATCGCAGAATGATTCCAGCTCATCAGCCTGTTTCCCCCAAAATTCCTAAAATTGAACCAAAGGCGTGTTCAAGCAGTAAGCAGTTATTCTGCCCTGGAACAGATTCTCACAAGTCACAGGGACTGTTGTAAACAAAAAGAACTTACCAGAACATCCTTCTCAAGGTGATTCAGAGCCTGAATATCCTTCTCAAGATGGGTCAACTCTTGAAGAAGAAAATCGTTAAACTGCTCCAGTTTATTCAGTCTGACAAATGTAAAAGCAGCACACTTCACTGGGGCAGCTTGGCGGAGACAAAGGACACTCTTAACCAACCCTCTTATTGCCAAGGGTACTTCATGTTCTTCTTGGACGTCTCTTGTTTTAAGAAAACACACCCCTCTTCTCTTCTCTCCCCTCACTGCCCGGCCATTCTCACCCCTGAAACACAGCTGGGCAAACTCGGATTCAGCCTTTCAGAGGAAGCCAGGAGGGGGCTGGTTTTTACAATCGTATTTGTAGAGCAACGGAGAGAGGACTCAGGGACCCCGCCTTGGGCCAGCAGCCACTGTCCCATGAACCAGGGCTCCCTGCACTTCCTCCCTCCCACCTGCTCCCCCTTTTCTTGCCTAAGGTGCTCTGACCGCTGAAACTGGTTAACAAACCTTTGTTCCATTTCTGTGTTTTAGTTCTGAAAGTTCTAACAGCTGCTATTCTGCGTCTCACCACCATCTAAACTGCTTGTTTGTTCACTTGCTTCTGGTCTGTCTGCTGTCTGAGGCTGAGGGCTCCAGGAATCACGCGCCCTGCCGCTCGCCCTCCCTGTGCCCCTGTGGCAGCACGGGGCCTGGACCCAGCCCGCCCAGCGTGCATTTGCGGAACAAAAATAAGAATGAATGGCTCTGGCTGGTTTGGTTCAGCGGTTAGAGCATTGGCCCATGGACCAATGAGTCGCGGGTTCGCTTCTGGTCAAGGGCATGTACCTCGGCTGCTATTAGTCCCTGGCCTGATTGTGGTCATGCAGGAGGCAACTATAGATGCGTCCCTCTCACGTCGATGTTTCTCTCTCTCTCTCTTCCTCTCTCTCCCTCCCACTGTATCTGAACAAAAAAAACCGGAAATATATCCTTGGGTGAAGACTAAAACAAAAAAAAGTGATGAGTAAATGAACCAAGTCCCACGAGTCCAAAGTCCTTCCCGGGTTTGAGAATCAAATGACAGTAAGTATAAATGTTGGAAAAAGGTACACATTTCTACTCACATCATGTATTCTGCCCTAAGAAACGTTCTGCTTCTGTTAAGCAAACTGACCTGCCATCATGTCCTCCCCACCTTCATTACAGGCCACTCCCCGCAAGGGTCACACCTCTGCACTCATCTTCCCGACTCCATTCAATTCTCTTCCAAAGCCTCACTCCAGAAGCACTTCCACGCTCTTCACTCTGGAGCGAGTCCAGTCCCTACCGAACCCTCTCTCCACTCCCATTCCTTGTCCTTAGCGTCTGTCCAGACTCTCAGCACCTCTGTACGCCCTGCTACAGGGTGACGGGGTGTCTGTCTGCACGCCTGTGCATGGGTGTGCATGAGAGTGTAGTAGTTTTATTGAGGCAAAATGTACATAATTGAAAATGTACCCTTTTAACCATTTTAAGTGTACAGTTGAGTAGCGTTAAGGATGTTCACAATGTTGTGCAGCCAGCACCACTATCCATTTCCAGAACTTTCCCATCACCCCAAAACGGAAACTCTGCATGGATTAGCGATAACTACCCGCTTCCCACCCCCACCCCCAGCAGCTGGTAACCTCTATTCCAGCTCCTGGTCTCCAGATCTGCCGCTTCTAGTGGCTCCCACAATCATTTTCCTTTTCTGTATTTCACCTGGCATAACGTCCTCAAGACTCGTCTAGACTGTAGCCTCCATCAGAGCTCCATTCCCTCTGTTGTTGTTAATCCTTACCCCAGGATATTTTCCACCGATTTTCAGACAGAGTGGAATGGAGGGATGGAGAGAGAGAGAGAGAGAAACAGCGAAGCGAGAGAGACACATTGACTGGCTGTCTCCAGCATATACCCAACCAGGGCCGGGATCGAACCTGCACACAGATAGGTGCCCTGACTAAGAATTGAATCTTCTGATGTTCTAACCACTGAGACGAACCGGCCATGGCTCCTTTTTAAGGTGGAATAATACCCCACTGTATGTCTTTACCACATATCATTTATTAAGCATTTTTACATATATCTCCATACTTGCCCTGTCTTCACAACTGGATTATGAGTTTTTTAAGAATAGTATTTTAGACCATAAAGAACCTTAAGGAGGGTCTTTAGCTCAACCCCTCGTCTTACTAATGAAGAACCAGACACCCGGAAGGGTTAAGCGATGTACCAAACTTCACATCTGCCCAAACTTCAACTCCTCACAACCCAGCACAGTGGTCATGAGACAAATGTTTGTGAGTGATCTCACTCTTATGACCTGGTTTTGAAAGCCAATACGTACCTGCAGTGATGTATCTGGTTTAAAAGCTTTATTAGGCAATTCGGTGATGGCTTGGCATATTTTGAATAAAGTACACTCCTTCTGTACCTAGGCTAAACCATAACAACAATAAAAGAAGGTACCTTTGGGTTAACTATAGCTACACACACTGAGTGCAGGTTTGTATTAACAGGACGAGGACAGCACACAACAGTCACAGCAAACATTACTGCTACAGGGTTGTGAGGGGGGGCCCTGCTACACCCTCCCCTGTACTACCTCAGGGCCAGCACCAATAAAGAACAATAAGCTGAAATAGAAAAACTTATATTCATACTATTGCTACACATATTGAATATCATGTACAAATTTCCATTATAAATTAGCTTACATTAGTATAGCAGCAGATCCGGATATCTTCCAACTTAATTAAATGAACATATGTTGGGCTAAGAAAGTTCTCTCAAATGTGCTATTAAATAACTCTAGGGATATACAAAACACAGAACAGAAAGAGGGGACTGACACGGTTCAATGCTCATCTGGCAGGTTTGGGGACAGTCTATACGTGCAGTATCACAGGGATAAGCCACCACTCCGCTCAATACCCACCCAGGGCCTAACTCCACCTTTGCCCCAGACACCGGTCTTATCCACAGGCCTCCTTCTCCCTGTCCTCCTCATCTATCACCGTGACCAAATCATTGCTTCCTGGCAGTTCAGGTGTCTGAGAATGCTGTCAATGACACCAGACCAGGAGTCTGATGTCCACATAGTCCTTCTGGTCCCATGGTAGCAAATACACACAAAATAGCTGTCTTATCAATACAAACCACATTTCACAAAGGTTCTCGAGTCCGTGAGCACAGCTAAGACAAATCCACTTCCCCAAACACTCAAGAATAGTTACACACATGAAAGATAAAGGCTTCAATAAGTAATGTGAGCCTGTTACTCTCAGCCCATGACAAGCTAGCTTTTTATTGTTAGTGCAGCGTTACCTCATATTTTCTTTTCAGTTCTCTGGTGAAGTTCTCAAAGGTGGTGATAACAGCAGAACTACTCAAGTTCTCTGGCACAACTGCCAGGGATGGACCAGAAATGCCTTCTGCACAATAAAAGTAGAACACTAAGTAAAATGAATACAATGTTTGCAGTAGAGGTGCTCAGTGCCCACAGGACGGACAGCCAGGCGGAAGCACACATCCGACCACGCAGCCCGTGGCTGCCTGGCTGAGACTGCAGCAGGGCTGAGTCTGGCTGAGGTCAAGGCCAACGCAAGCCCAGAGTCCTTGAGGCAGGCACTTCATGCTGCTTCCCATCAAACCTCCCTCTCCAGCGAGGGCCCATTTCTTCCAAACGTCCCCAGCACTTTGATTAGTGAAACTGATGTGATGTCTAAGCAGCAGGCAGAGGTGCTGTGAGACGCTCTGAGGAGGACGTGATGGGAAGGGCATTTCTGTGAGGGAAATGCTGGCATAACACTTCTGGATGCCAGAAAATTCACGAGGGAACATGAGGGTCTGGCACGTCCTGAGGGTAGCATGTGTCAGCTCCTTTAGTCCTCATGCACCGGGCGACGTGGGAACTGCTCTTTCCACACTGAACAGAGGGATCAAATAGCTCGTGGAAGCTCACTCCACTGCTTCAGGATGCGAACCAGGCTGCCTGGCTCTTCACCACCCACAGTGCCTCTGGGCCTCACAATCCCTTCTTGGAGCCTTTCATTTCGAAATATGATGGCGTCTCTCGTCTACAAGGCCACCCCCACAAATATATATATCCAATACACAAACTTAGTCAACAACTATCAACTAAAGCAGGGGCCTACATATGAGTTCAGAAACCCTTAGGCCCTGACAATTGCCATAAAGAAGAGTTAAGAGGCAGAAATCTAAAGGCTAGAAGAAGGTGTGCGGATTATATCTGTCATTTGTGCAGCAATGTACTTGTCTCTGAAAGGACAGACGCTTAGTGTTTCGGGCTGTGCAGCTGCTATATCTTCAAACTGTAACTCCCCTGTAATTCCTGTGGGTATGCTCAGTGCTCACACTTTGTCACACTCTTGCTTGACTGGCTGGCTGGGTGCATAATGTTACCTGCAAGGTCTGTGTCTTCCGTCACTGAGGAAAGGGATCCGGGAGCATCATCTTCTTCCAATTTTGACTGTTTCCACATAGCAAAACTGTCATCTGAAGGCAAGCACAGCACATTAAAACACACAAACACATTAATTTTGTCCCAAGTTTTTTTTTGCCAGTTAAGACCTAACCTTGATGAGCAGCAAGTGAAACTCATTCCCTGTTACTAATTACTTATAATTTGGCACATTCAACAAGCTTCAGAACTAAATCTACAGATGCCTAAAAAGGGCAGATGGGATCAGGTCTCCCTTTGGATGAGCTCTGTAGCATTTAGAACTCTCTGCTTAGCAAGGTACAGACTGACAAACAAAAAGCAGTAATGATTGGCATCAACAACACTTTTCCCTGCAACGCCCAGTAAAACAACAACAGAAAACCCACTTCACTGGCTCCAGGCTGCATGGCAAGGTAGCATAGCAAGGCTTCCAGGCAAATGGGTTTTGATCACCCTGCAGAGTGCGCCACCTGCTGGTCACACTAGACCTTCAGGGTTGTACTGAGGACTACCTTAGAAATGAGGTCATTTTGGCTCCTCACTAGCTCAAGTGACTTTAAGAGCCTCAGCTTATGAGATTTAAATATAGATTCTCTTTTCAATTCAGATTCTCTAAATATTTTCTATTCTGATATTCACTCTCACCCCATCCAGGCCCTCTTGATCTATCAAAGCCACCACCATTGCCAACAGTGCACCAGCATCCAGCCTGACTCCTGCTTGTCTTTACCGTCTCCTTCTCTTCCATCATCAGGCCTGAGGTCCTGCCTGGAGGACGAATTCATCTCTTTCTGCATTTCCAGGACACGATTCTGTCCACACCTGCTTTCCCACACCTTGATCCTGGAGGGTCTCATCAATCCCACACCTTCACCTGTCATCTCCCAAACACCTCTTGCCTGAGCTCTCTTAAGCAGAAAACTTGTGTTTCCAGATGCTTCCTCGAACCCTCCTTTCTGCTCCTCACTAACCACTCTTTCTTCCCACCACACACTCAGCCCCTATTCACACACTTACCTGCAAAGTCATCTGCTTACCCCCTCTCTCCTCACATACTCAGCGGGTCACTATTGGTTTTCCCCCTGAAAGTTCTAGAATCTAATTTCATTAATTTGCTTAATAAGTACTTGAATGTTACTATGTGCAAGGAGCTGTACGATATTGGTGGGCAGACTGTGCAGAAGCAAAGAGGCAAGTGTCTCTTTCTCCACTCTGCTCCCCGCCCTGGTCTCCTTGCAGCCTCGGACACTGACACAGGCTCACGTAAAGGCCTCCACACTTGCTGTTCCTCTAACTTGAGTCCTTCCCCCCACATGTCTGCACTAGGGTTTCCTCTGGCATATAACCTAAAGTTGCAATAGCCACCCCGCCAACTTCTAAAACTCTTCCCTAATTCATCTTTTCTTAGCCTTTATCACAATGTACCATTTTAATACAACCCATGACTTTTAACCACTTCCTTGTTTTTTTTCTTAGCCTTTATCACAATGTAATACACCACATGTTTTGCTTTTCTTGTATATTATGGGTCCCCCACTGGAAGGTAAGCCCCAGCGAGGTCAGGCATTTTGTCTGTTTTGTTCTCTAGAATATCCATCATGTAGAAAAGTGCCTCACACATAGCCGACATTCCTTGGACATTCACAGAACGAAAGAATGAATGAAGGCTGCAGAATATCCAAGCATCTATGAAATAAGACATAAGACATCTTGATATCCCGTCATGGCAGCAGTATAGGTAAACACTGGCATCCTCCCAACCACATCAAAATGACAACAAAACTACAGAACAACCCTCATTCAAAACCACCTGAAGATGAACTGAATGGATGTCCTACAACTAGGGAATTAAAGAAGACACACTGAGACTCGTAGGAGGGACAAAGAGGTGGTACGAGGCTGGTCCCACACCTACGTGTGGTGGATAAAAATTGGTAGGGATATCTTGGCTCCCCGGCCCAGGTTTCCACTGCCAGGAAGACAAGTCCCCATAACTTCTGGCTGTAAAAACCAGCAGGGATTGAGGTGAGTGAGATGGAGGGCTGGCTGCCGGAGTCCCAGGCAGCACCTCTTAAAGGGCCCACACATGGGCTTACTGAGACTTACTCCCTCTGAGCTCCAGTGCTGGGGCGGCAGATTTCTCCCAGACAGCAGTGCTGGCAGAGGCCACGGTTCCTTTGCTGAGCCCTCCCCCCAAAGAGCTGGCAGGCGGGCACCGTATCTGGGACTCCATCAACCTGGCTCACACTGTCTGCCACACCCTGGTGATTCCCTGAGCCCACACTACACCCAACTTTCAGGCCCATCCACACTGTTTCCAGTGGCTTTTCCATAGGAATGGCCTGTCATGGCTCATGCTTCAGATTTTCCTAAAATCTCTCAGACAAACAGCATCTGGCCTCTGTGTCTCGTACCTCTCATTAAGTGGCCCCAGGCCCAGCAGCAGCAGCAGCAGCAGCCAGCCTTGGTTCAAAGTTTGGCCTTGCCTGGGCACCTCCAAATCTACCACCAGTAGCAGCCTTCTACAGATTGCTCCCTAGCTCACTGTGGGTGGCCCCAGGCAGAACACAGGCAGTGGCTGACCTTGCCCTGCACCTCCCAGAGCCAGCACCCCCAGCAGACAGTCTCAGACCACATCAAAGCACCATGCTCCAACCACCTGCACGAGCGACTCACTCAAGAGGCCGACTCAGTGAGCCCCAGAGCCCCGCTGAAGGAAGTCCTGCTCTGTTGGGCGGGCCCCCATAGCTCATCCTCCATGGCGGTGGGTGGTTGCAGCAGATCCTTGTGGTTGATCCAGGTAAATCCCTCCCACTGAAGGGCCAACAGTAGTCAGGGCTCAACTACAAGAGGAGGGTGTACATAGCCCACATGTGGGGTGCACCTCGAGTACCCAGCTTGGGTGATTGGGGAGGCTGTGCCACTGGACCCTACAGAACACCTACTACATTGGGCCACTCTACCAATCCTGGGAGACGTAGCAGCTCTACCTAATAACTAGAAACAAACACAGGAAAGCAGCCAAAATTAGGAGTCAAAGAAACATGTCCCAGATGAAAGAACACAACAAAACTCCAGGAAAAGGACTAAAGAAAATGAAGACAAGCAATCTATTAGACGCAGAGTTGAAAACACTGGTTATAACGATGCTCAGTGAACTAACTAAGGACCTCAACAGCATAAAAAAGAACTAGTCAGAAATGAAGAATACACTAACTGAAGTAATAAATAATTTACAGGGAAGCAATAATAGAGTAGATGAAGCCAAGAATCAAATCAGCATTTTGGAATACACAAAGCAAAAAACACCCAATCAGAACAAGAAAAAGTAAAAAGAATTTTAAAAAAATGAGGATAGTGGAAGGAGCCTCTGGGACAACATCAAGCATACCAATACTCATATCATGGGGTTACCAGAAGGAGAAGAGAGAAATAAATTGAAAACCCATTTGAAAAAATAACAGGAAACTTCCCTAACCTGGTGAAGGAAAGAGACATGTAAGTCTAGGAAGCACAGAGAGTCCCAAACAAGATGAACCCAAAGAGGCCCATACCAAGGACACATCATAATTAAAATACAAAGGTTAAAGAGAGAATCTTAAAAGCAATGAGAGAGAAGCAGTTACTTACCTACAAGGGAGCACCCGTAAGACAATCAGCTGATTTCTCAACAGAAACTTGGCAGGCCAGAAAGGAATGGCAAGAAATAGTCAAAGTGACGAAAAGTAAGGACCTACAACCAAGATTATTCTACCCAGCAAAGCTATTATTTAAAATTGGAGGACAGATAAAGGGCTTCCTAGGCAAGAAAAAGCTAAACGAGTTCATCACCACCAAACCAGTATTACAACAAATGTTAAAAGGTCTTCTTGAAGAAGAAGAGGAGGAAGAAAACAGATTTAAAAATTTTCACAATAAAATGGCAATAAATACATATCTATCAATGATTGAATAAAAAAAACAGAATAAATGAACAAGCAGAATGGAAACAGACTCATAAATACACAGAACAGTTTGACGGTTGTTAGATGGGTGTGAGTTGGGGATGGGTGAAAAAGGTGAAGGGATTAAGAAGTACAACTGGTTATTACAGCATAGCCATGGAGGTAAAGTACAGCATAGGGAATACAGTCAATAATAGTTTAATAACTTTGTATGGTGTCAGAAGGGCTTGAGATTTATCAGGATGACCACTTACTAAGTTATGTAATGTCTACTCACTGAGGTATACACTTGAAACTAATATAATAATGTATATCAACTGTAATGAAAAAATAAAAATGATTTTAAAAAGGGACATATTATATCCTAAAACACAGCCCTGACAAAATAGATAATTTATTCTAATTATCTTATATTAGCAGTAAAAATAAAAACAGAGGAATATCAAAAAGTTTAGCCCTGGCTGGTTGCTAAGTGGTTAGAGCATGAGCCCGTGGACCAGAGTCGTGGGTTCTATTCAGGTCAAGGGCATGTACCTCAGTTGTGGTCTGGACCCCGGCCCGGGTTGGGGTCGGGCAAGAGGCAACCAACTGATGTCTCTCACATTGATGTTTCTCTCTCTTCCTCCCTCCCTCCCACTGTTAAAAAAAATAACTTTAGAGACTTAAATGCCTGCTACATAAATTATAAACAGAAATTAATCAAGTTTAGCATTTTAAGATCTGTCAAATCTACCTTCTGGGAGAAATGGTAAATACACAAATTTTTAGAACTAGCACCACAGGCCGTGGTCGGTTTGGCTCAGTGGTTAGAGTGTTGGCCCACAGACCAAAGAGTCACAGGTTTGATTCTGGTCAAGAGCACGTAGCTTGGTTGCAGTTCGTCCCTGGCCCTGGTCAGGGTTGTGCAGGAGGCAACCAATCGATGCATCTCTCTCACACCGATGTTTCTCTCCCTCTCCCTTTCCCACTCTATCTGAAGATACATGGAAAAATGTCCTCAGGTGAGGATTAAAAAAAGAAAAAGAAATAGCACCACAGTAGGAAATACCAGTTAGAAACTTCAAGGTGACAAAGGAAAAGAAAAAGAATGTTACTGTTACAATTAGGCAAAATAGAGAATAGTCAGTGTTAAAATAGTTCATGCTGTGTGATGATACAGAAGATACATTTTTAAGAAAAATTAATAACCTAGGTTTGTATGTCAATTTAGATTACTTTCTATTAAAAAAAGCAGCAAAAGCCTTGGCCGGTTTGGCTCAGCGGTTAGAGCGTTGGCCTGCGGTCCAGAGAGACCCGGGTTCGGTTCCTGCTAAGGGCACGTACCTCGGTTGCAGTTTGTCCCCGGCCCTGGTTGGGTCGTGTGGGTGGCGACCACTCGATGTGTCCCTTTCACATTGATATGTCTCTCTCTCTCTCTCTCTCTCTCTCTCTTTCTCTCTCTCTCTCCCTCCTTCCCTCCCTCCCTCCCTCCTACTCTATCTGAACAAAATATTGAAAAATGTCCTTGGATTAGGATAAAAAAAAAGCAGCAAAACAAAAGAAGTAAAACAAGAGCAGTAATAAATACCTAATTGAGAGAAAATGATGACCCAAAAGCAAATAAACTGAACTAATAATACCAGATACATAAATAAAATGATCAAAGAATGATGAACTTCAGCCTGGCCCGTGTGGCTCAGTGGCTGAGCACTGACCCAGGCACTAAGAAGCCGCCAGTTCCATTCCCAGTCAGGGCACATGCCCAGTTTGTGGGCCCAATCCCTAGTGGGGGGCATGCAGGAGGCAAACAATCGATGTTCTCTCTCATTGATGTTTCTATCTCTCTGCCCCTCTCCCTTCCTCTCTCTGAAATCAATAAAGAAAAAAAAAGAATGATGAACTTCATAGTTTGCTATAATAAAATTTTCATAAACTAAAAACTTCATTCAAAATCATATTCCCACTCTGCAGAACTTGGAAAAGAAAGAGTCTATATCCAGCCTCTCTGTAATAAAAAATTACATTGAATTAAAGCATAAGAAATACTTTCAACTTTGAGAGGTAACTTGTATAGGCCAGTATGTCTTTCTTCCAATTACTCTTAGATGTAAGTGTTCATCTGTTTGAAAAATATAAATGGATATTTTCTAGAGGGTTGTATTGCTTTAAAAAATAATAATTCAGCTCTGGCCGAGTAGCTCAGTTGGTTGGAGCATCGTCCCATACATCAAAAGGTTGTGGGTTCAATTCCGGGTCAGGGTACATACCTAGGTTGTGGGTTCAATCCCCAGTTGGGTCACATACAGAAGGCAACCAATTGATGTTTCTCACGTCAATGTTTATCTGCTGCAATTTTAATTAACAGCCCAACCCAACAAATCCGATTAAATTTGCTTTATTCTGCAAAGAGCTTAATATTCTCTCACCTCTGTCTTCCAGGCTTTCCAGTTTACGTTTGAGGTTTGCCCTTTTCATGAATAAGTCTTGGTTCACAGTCTTGAAAAAAACAGGCCACAAATACATGTATTTATGTCCAAAAATGAAACACAAATGATGTTACATTATCCCTTAAGAAGGAATAAGCCAGAACATTACGCAAAGATAACATTAGATCTGCAAAACCCAACAATTAATTTGTACCTTAGATATATTCTCTTCAACTTCTGAGCGCTCCAATGAAGAGAGACTGCTCACTGGGTGGGGACTCTGGAGTTCTGAGTATTAGAATTAGTTGAGTATTAGAATTAGTTCTGAGTATTAGTTTCAGAGGAACAAACACAGTAAGAAGCAGCTTCAGGCGCTAACATTTCACCATGTAGCAAATCTCACCATGGAAAACAGTGGGACACAGAACCAACAGAAACAACAACAACAACAACAACACTCTGTCTCTCTCAGGCACGAATGGTTATCGGGCTTGCAGCTCTGAAGGTAAATGAATACAACCAGTTTCTTCAATTAGATCACTCCTTTAATAGCACCCATCTGGCCCCAAATTCATGGGCAAGGACTCTCCTGCCTCAGCCTTGTGATCCCTCTCCTCCTCCTCTCCGTTCCACTCCCCCATTTCCTCTCTTTCTCTAATGCCAACTTTCTTCTCTCCTTGTTTCTCTCCGCTGGTGGCAGCCAAGCCTAAAGGCTGCCAGCTGTGCGCTTCCTCAGGGCCGTTCTGTGCCGGCAATGTGCTGAGTAAGGAGATGGTGAAGGAGAAGGAAACCAACCCCCTGCTCCTCCAAGTTTAAAAGATGCAAAAAGTTTTAATAAAATACAGCAGGAGTGAAGGTAACCCTTCTAGGTCAAGGGTTGGCAAACGTTGGCCCCTCAGGCCCCTTCTGTCACCTGGTTTTGTAAATAAAGTTTTATGGAAACAGCAGTGCTCAGTGGTTTACATCTTGCCTGGGGCTGGTTTGGTGTTGCAGCTGCAGAGTTAAATAGTTGCAGCAGAAACTATTATAGGGGCCAAAACAGCAAAAAGTATTTACTGTCCAGTTCTTTACAAAAAAGTTTACCAGCCCCTGCTAGCAAGTCATCATTTGCGTTTCTTGCTTCTTTAAAAGAGAACAAGCATTCTTACGCACAAGCTAATCTCAAATGTTTTTGAAACATAATATCCTCCATCTTTTGTCACTGAGGATAATAAGGAGATAAACAATCATATCTTCACTTTCTTCAACAGACAGTAAAAGAAAAATGTTTTATTTACTTCAAACTACCTTTCCCAAAGTATCATTTTTTCTATGTAAATCAACAGAAATCAGGTACCTGTTTTCTGGGCAGAAGCTTCAGGAGTTAAATGGGCAGAACTACCCTGAAATTTTGTTCCAGAAATTTCTGGAGACATGGCATCATTGTCCCTGGAAGTATCTTTCCACAATGGCGTTAGAGGTTTAACCTAAAATATAGTACTTTTTAGAAGTATTAACATTCATAACCACTCAAGACAAGCCATCAGAAATTTCCAATATCCTTTTTAAAAGTTTAAGTATTGGATTTGCTCCCTTGAAACTAAACACCAAGACTAAAGATCCCAGAATCGGAGCACAGTAGGTCATATGTCCATTGATAATTCTAAATAAGAAATAACTCCAAATCAGAGTTCTCCAAGTGTGGTCCCAGACCACAGCATCGGCAACACCTGGGAGCCTGATGGAAATGCCAATTCCCAAGCCCCACCTTGATCTCCTCAATCAGAAGCTCTGGGTCAGGACCCAGGATCTGTGTTTTAAGAAGCCACCCTGGTCATTCTGACGACCGCTCGAGTCACCCACTGCTCTAAGTCAGGTTCTGGTCGATAACATGTTATTGGAACCCAGCACACCCGTTCCTCTCGGTGTCGTCCACGGCGGCCTTCGTGCTACAATGGCCCACAGAGTCGAACATATTTACTCTCTGGCCCTTTACAGGGAAGTCTGCCCACCCCTGCTCTAAATTATTCTCTTATACACTAGCACAGAGAAGCGAATTTTGAATACCAACACGTGTACAGTCAGCAATGCCCTCTCCGAATATCAGCATAGACTTCTTACCACCGCACAGCTTAAATGTATGGGTTCTCAAAGCTTTGATGTTTCTTTGGTGCTTATTTAAAACAAAAGATGTATTTACTAAACACTGTTCTTTCGGTCCATTTCTAACTGATAACTCATTATTTCACGTTGGGAAAATATTTGGGGACTTACTCTGGCTCACAGGTCTCATCAGTAAACTATCTCTGTCATAGAGGACCTGGCCTCAGATTCACAGAGGGCTGCAGTCCCCTGGCTGAAGGAGGAAGGCAGGAGGGGGCAGATAACTAGGCATAATTGGAGCACTAATCACCTTGTTGTGGATGCTCTCAGAACCCCAGCAGCCAGACAGGATAGCTCTCATTGATCAAGAAACAAAAACCAACTGCTAAGAGAGGCAATTCAGCTAATCACAGGAAAAATTACTTTGAATTGGTTTGGAGGATACTGGTGTTCATACTCATTTAAAAAATTTTTTTTCTCTCCTGGCCGGTTTGGCTCAGAGGTTAGAGCGTCCGCCTGCGGTCCGGAGAGACCCGGGTTCGGTTCCCGCTAAGGGCATGTACCTCGGTTGCAGTTTGTCCCCGGCCCTGGTTGATCATGCGGGTGGCAGCCACTCAATGTGTCCCTTTCACGTCGAGGTTTCCCTCTCTCTCTCTTCCTCTCTTTCCCTCCCACTCTATCTGTACAAAAAATGGAAAGGTGTCCTCGGGTGAGGGGGGAAAAAAAAATTTTTTTTTCTTGATTGATCTTAGAGAGAGAGGAAGAGAGAAGGAGATAGAGATAGAAACATCTATGAGAGCAAACATGGATTGGCTGCCTCCTGCATGCCCCCTATTGAGGATTAGGCCCACCATCTCGGCATGTGCCCTGACCAGGAATCGAACCAGCAACCTCTTGGTGCATGGGTAGACGCTCAACCACTGAGCCACACCAGCTGGGCAGGTGTTCACAGTCTTAACTACTTTGCTATAGAATGAGGATAACTGAAGGGGACTAAGAAATGTTCAGGGCTTATTCAGTATCTATATAGCCCTGAAGGCATTTCAAATACTTACAAAATAAAGATTTTTTTTTTGTTTAACATAAAGATGTTAAATGTTTGTTTAAATCATTAAAAGCTCTGAGAGTAAAATCAACAAACTGAACACTAAGTGGGAAATTAAACCAAGAAGTTTATTTTTAAAAAGTAAATTCAAAAGAGCACACATTGGCCGTGACCAGAGCAGCCCAGATGTCAAGCACTGCTCTCATCTCTCAGCAACATTTGGGAACAACGAAGAAAGGTCCTAAATTTTTATCCAAAATTCATACTTAATGTTTAGAAGTCCTAGCAGTTTCTACTGACAGTGGATAACATATCATGCTTTGTTATTCTCATGTTTCTGAAAGGAGTCGTTTCATTTTGTTTTTAAGAAATAAATGCAGTTTGACCCCAAACAGATCAACGCGTGCCTTGCTGACGCCACAGGACACGAGGCCGCCCAGATGACATTGACTTACTTGGTCTTTCTCACGGTCGCTGCCAGGTCTGGGAGGGGAAAGAGGCAAGACTAAAACGAAAGGAACGTGTACAATCGATAAACTCACTCACGAGAAATGCAAAAATTCACGTGTCCCTCTCCCAATCACACGTGTCCAGGCGGGCAGCAGTTACTGTTTCCTACACCCGCTCAACTGCCCGGCCCTTAAGATCCCTTTCTAACAATTCAACTCTGCCCCTCTCCACCCAGCACCAATTCTCTGCCCAGGTCCTGTCCCTGGATGTTGTCCTCACGTCCCCAGTCTGTCCCTGTAGAGGTACCTAAGTTAGAATGAGTCCCCTTCTCCACTCCTGTTCTTGTTCCAACGATTAGCTCAAGCCCCACCCACCTCTTCCCTGAGCTTTTCCTGATGCTTCCAGTTCACATCAGTCCTCTCGTCTGAACCTCTCCACTTGCCCACAGCTCAGGTCTGACCGCCGTGGCCATGCCACAGTTGTGCCCTGTTCCACGGATGCACACTTGGCCTTCCCAGTGTAACTGTAGCAGGGAAGGGGGATCGCGGACCACACAGCTCTTTGGTGCCCTCATTACACACTGAAAATAAATTCCTGCTGCCTTACTTGAAAAACGACTGAAAGAAGACATGCACCAAACTTACTTTTTAAGCTACTTCTGGCCCTTGTCTTTCTTCTACCAGGATACGGTTTTAAGAATTTCCTGTCTTGGTTATTGGTCCAAGATGGTGCAGTGGTACTAGAACTTGAATCTCGACTACTCTCTGAGAAGAGGTGTTTCCTGTAACTGAACTTCTGCAAACAGATAGTAAATGAGCATTACTATTAAGGGGGAGTCAGTGTCCCTTATGCACATTTATAGTTATCACTACAAAATTAGACACTAGAGGAGTTACAGGGTCTCTTACATAATAAAAGGCACAGAAGTAAAGGGGGAAGAAGAAGAAACAGATTATTTCATTAGTCAGTTCTCAACCAAGCCCCGGTTGTAAAGGACAACAAATCCGCTCCAGTCAGATGCTGGCGACTGAAGAGATGCTAGGAAACCGTTCCAACCTGATGCGCCTCCACACCGTGTCAGCACTACAGCTTCTGAATACCAGCCTCGTCGACAAAGGGAAGTGTCAACATCATTTTTGCAAAGACATGATTGTCTATGATTTAGAGGAACTAAAATAAAAATAAGAGGGTCGTTCCTATTAAAACCTTAAAGCCTTAGCCCTGGCCGGTTTGGCTCAGCGGTTAGAGCGTCGGCCTGCAGTCCAGAGACCCGGGTTCAGTTTCCGCTAAGGGCACGTACCTCGGTTGCAGTTTGTCCGTGGCCCTGGGTGGGTCATGCGGGTGGCAGCCACTCGATGTGTCCCTTTCACATCAATGTTTCTCTCTCTCTCTCTCCCTCCCACTCTCCCACTCTATCTGAACAAAAAATGGAAAAAAATGTCCTCAGGTGAGGGTAAAACAAAACAAAACCTTAAAGCCTTTGAAATTGAGCCTGGACTATAAAGGTCAGAGATTTAGGTCAAATTTAATCTGTTCGGGGGGATTATTGAACTATACACTGATACTTATGAATTCTTGTATCTTTTCCTGTATTTGAATTTGTTTATATAAATGCTGTAACAAATCAATGTTTATGCTCAATTTTAATATGAAATATGTTTGCCTCTCACAGAGCACATCTCTGTCTGCGCCCTGCCTGTGGTTCCCGTCCCGGGACCCAGTGCGCACACCGCCATGCCTCTCCCACAGGCTGCACCTTGCAGCTCCTAACAGCTGGTTCTCATTTCAGGCCAGGGAGGGTTCCCATGAATCCAAAAGTATAACGTGGTGACAGTACCTCACATGCTCTCCTCAACCTGACACATATCAGCTGGAGGGTCCACCCTGCGCCTGAAATGACAAACCACAGAATCAGCTAACGGTGGGAATCCGCATCACCCCTATTTAGGATAACACAGTCCATAACCTTTAAGGTGGGTGATGGTGAGCTACCTATTTTTCAAATAAATTCACTTTTGAAGACCCAATTTAAAATGTTTAGCAGTGTCCTGGCCGGTGTGGCTCAGAGGTTAGAGTGTTAGCCTGTACACCGAAGCGTCGCTGGTTCGATAGCTGGTCAAGGGCGTGTACCTGGGTTGCAGGTTCGATCCCCAGCCGCAGTCGGGGCACGTGCAGTAGGCAACCAACCAATGTGTCTCTTTCACACTGATGTTTTTTTTCTCTCTCTCTCTCCCTTCCACTCTCTCTAAAAATCAATGGCAAAAATATCCTCAGGAGAGGATTAACAACAACAAAAGTTCAGCATTTCAGCATTTTGTAGAGAAGCTCATTTTTCAAAGGAACTCTGTGAACCAGGCCTATCTTCTGCATCTTACTCTCAGGAGAAAAACAGAAAGGGGGCTGGCACTCCATTGTTCCAGAGGTGCTCAGCCAGTGTTAGTTAAGAGCAAGCATCAGTTCTCTGAACGCACCCAATTAAAAAAATCACACAGCACTTTCCCAGTTTCTTTAGTTTCATATAAAAAGGTTTTCAATGTTATTTACAAAAACACAAGTATCCGGGGAAGTTGTTTTTAAAGTTGGCTGCATATTAGAACCACCAGGAGAGGGCTTAAAACAAATCCCAATGTCTGGGCTTTACCCTGGACCAACTAAGTCAACATCATCGCAGAAGGGGTCCAGGTTTTGGTCTTTTTGTCAGCTCCCCTGGTGATTCCAATCAGAAGATGGGCAGCAAGCAGAGTGAGAACCACTGCTAAAAGCAAACCAGAAACAGCCTTAACTCATTTGAAGCTCATGATCTCAAATTTTTAGAAAACTTCATTTAATGTTCATTATAGAGTTTTTGTTTTGTTTTGTTTTGTTTTGTTTTAATGCTCTGACTAAGGACTTAGAGAACAGACCTTCCCAAAGTGAGAGGCAACCTGGAGAGGTGTGAATTGGTGCCCAGAGAAACAAAACCCTGTCCCTGACACACAACAAAACATTCTTTTCAGTTCATTACCATGTCTGCTTCTATTCAGGATAGATCTCAAGTGTCAGTAGGTCTTGAATACTTCTCTTCTACTTACTAATCTTTTTTTAAAAAGCAAGAACAGGCTTTGTCCTCAAAGCCTAATACAAGTAAAAGTATAGCTCAATATGATAACTTTGTTATTTTCCATCGCATTTATTTGGCGGCTTACCTAGTATTTGTTACAACTCGTGCTGATTTTCCATTTGAAAGTGGAACAATTCCCTTTCAAGTAAGTTTAAGATAAATTTAATGGAGAAAATTAGAGATAAAATAGCAGAGCCATGACAAATTTTGAAGATGGTACGCAAATAACTGTAATGTGGGAAGTAATGCCGCCAAACAATAAAAGAGTCACGTCATTACCGACATCCTTGTTCCTTGCTTTCCGTCACCCTTGAAAGCAGGCTCTTTCCTAAAACGAAATATACCAAATCAGTGGACCTGTACGACCATCCCCTCTCCTTCCCTCACTTCACAGCTCTATTCTCTCAAGTGCACAGAGAGCATCACATCCCGGAGACAAACTTACCTTGCATCCAGTTCCACACTCTGACAACAATCGGTTATTTAAAACAAAACAAACCTTGCCCGGCTGGTGTGGCTCAGTGGTTGAGTGTCGACCCATGCACCAAGAGGTTGCAGGTTAGATCCCCAGTCAGGGCACACGCCCAGGTTGTGGGCCAAATCCCCAGTGGGGGGCATGAAGGAGGCGGCCAATCGATGTTCTCTCTCATAGATGTTTCTATCTCTCCCTCTCCCTTCCTCTCTAAAAATCATTACAGAAAAAAAAGAAATAAAATAAAATAAAACAAAACAAACCTTTGTGGAACCCTTCTGTGTCAGGCATACCAAGAGGAAGGCAGGGTGGGACCCGCAAGTGAGCAGCGGGCTGTGGCAAAGCCAACGAAATGCGCTCCCTGTCTGGCTCTGCCGTAGAGCCCACTGGCCATCCGTATGTCTTCTTTGGAGATATGTCTATTCAAATCCTTTCCCTATTTTTTAATCAGGTGATTTTTTTTTGCTACTGAATTGTAGGAGCTCCTAATAAATATTGTGACTATTAACCCCTTTTATGGTTTGCAAGTATTAAAAAAAAAAATCTAAGTGTTGGTGAAGATGTGGACAAATTCATGGAAATGTAAAATGCTGTAGCCACTATTGAAAACAGTATGGCAGTTCTTTTAAAAAATTTAAACTAGAACTATTTTATAACCCAGCGGTCCCATGTATGCAATACAAGTGAAATCAGGATCTTTTTTTTTTTTATCCTCACCCGAGGATATTTTTCCATTTTTTGTACAGATAGAGTGGGAGTGAGAGAGAGGAAGAGACAGAGAGAGAGAAACATCGATGTGAAAGGGACACATCGAGTGGCTGCCACCGCACGACCAACCAGGGCCGGGGACAAACTGCAACCGAAGTACGTGCCCTTAGCGGGAACTGAACCCGGGTCTCTCCGGACCGCAGGCCGATGCTCTAACCGCTGAGCCAAATCGGCCAGGGCTGAAATCAGGATCTTAAAGAGATATCTCCACCCTCATGTTCACTGCAACCAAGACATGGAAACACTCTAAATGTGGTCTACACATACAAGGGAATACTCGTCGACCTTAAAAAAGGTGGGAATCCTGCAGTATGCAACAACACAGATGAACTTGGATGAGATTAGGCTAAGTGAAATAAGCCAGTCACAGAAAGACACATAGCCATGATTCCACTTACATGAGGTATCTAAAAGAGTCCAACTCAGCCCTGGTCAGGTAGCTCAGGTGGTTGGAGCATCATCTTGTACACCAAAAGGTTGTGGGTTCGATTCCTGGTCAGGGCACATACCTAGGTTATGAGTTCAATCCCCAGTCGGGAAATGTACAGGAGGCAACCAATCTATGTTTCTCTCTCACATCGATGTTTCTCTCAATCTCTCTTCTCTCTCTCTCCCCCTTTCTCTCTCTCTGAAACCAATAAAACATATCCTCAAGTGAGGATAAAAAAAATAATTAAATAAATAAATAAAAAATAAAAGAGTAATCCTAGCCCTGGCCAGTTTGGCTCAGCAGTTAGAGCACTGGCCCATGGACCAAAGAGTTGCAGGTTCAATTCCAGTGAAGGGCACATACCTCAGTTGTAGTTCGGTCCCTGGCCTTGGTCAGGGTCATGTGGGAGGCAACCAATCAATACGTCTCTCTCATATCTATGTTTCTCCCTCTCTCTCTCCCTCCCTTCCTCCCACTCTATCTAGAAATCAGTGGAAAAATATCCTCAGGTGAGGATTAACAAAAAGAAATAAATAAATGAGTTAAACTTATAGAAAGGGTGAATAGGACAGTGATTTCCAAGGGCTAAGGGGAATGGGAAATGCTGAGTTGCTATTCAACAAGTATAAAATTTCAATTATACAAGATAAATGAGTTCTAGAGATTTGCTGTATAACATTATGCCTATAGTTAACAACACTATATTGAGCACATAAAATTTTGTTAAGAGGGCAGAGCTCATGTTAAGTGTTCTTATCACAATAAAAAAAAGAATGAAATAGTCAATGAATCCCCATTTCCAGGCAACCATTGATATACTTTCTGTCTCTAGAGATTTGTTTGCATTTTCTAGTATTTTATGTAAATGAAATCATACAATATATACTTTTTTTTGGTCTGGCTTCTTTTAGTATTATTTGGAGATTTATTCATGTTGCCTATATCAATAGTTAATTTCTTTTTATTTCTGAGTATCCATTGTATAGATATAACAAAACTTGTTTATCCATTCATCTATTTTTTTTTTTTTTTAATCCTCACCCGAGGACATTTTTGCATTTTTTGTTCAGACAGAGCGGGAAGGAGAGAGAGGGAGAGAGAGAGAGAGAAACATCGATGTGAAGGGACACATCGAGTGGTTGCCACCTGCACGACCAACCAGGGCCGGGGACAAACTGCAATCGAGGTACGTGCCCTTAGCGGGAACCGAACTCGGGTCTCTCTGTACCGCAGGCCGACGCTCTAACCGCTGAGCCAAACCGGCCAGGGCTATCCATTCATCTATTGATGGACATTTGGTTGTTTCTAGTTTGGGACTGTTACAAATAAAACTACTGTAAACATTCATGTACATGCCTTTGTGTAGACAAATGCTGTCATTTCTCTTGAGCAATGCCTACAATCAGAATAGCTGGCCCATAGGATGGGTATATATTTAACATTTTAAGAAACTACCAGCAGTATATAAGCATTCCAGTTGCTCCACACCCTCACCAACACTTGATACGGTCTTTCTAATACATGTGTAGTAAAGTAACATTTTAGCCATTCTGATAAATGTGTAGTAACACATTTAATTCACATTTACCTAATAGTTTATGATGTTGAGCAACTTTTCGTGTGCTTATCATCTGTATATATCTATTAGTAAATTAGCGATTCAAACCTTTTACCTATGTTTTTATTGATTGTAATTTTATTATTAAAATTTGAGAGTACTTAATATATTTTAGGTACAAGTTCTATATCAGATACATGCTTTACAAATATTTTCTGCAAATGTGTGGCTAGTCCTTTCATTCCCTTAACACTGTTTTTTGTTTTGTTTTTTTAATCCTTACCTGAGGATATCCTTCCATTTATTTTCAGATAGAGTGGGAGGGAGGAGTCGAGAGAGAGAAACATTGATGTGAGAGAGACTCATCGATTGGTTGCCTCCCACGCAACCCCTACCAGGGCCGGGTACTGAACCGCAACCGAGGTCCGTGACCTTGACTGCAATCAAACCCATGACTCTTAGGTCCTCCTCACAGAAGAGGGTCAGGACCCGGTTGTGCTTCTCACACAAGCACCTCTCTTGCTACCACTTCCTCTTGCTCCTGGTGATCTGGAGGAGGTGGCAATGTCGATCATCCTTCCCAGCTGCGTGACGCTCCTCAAGTGCCTGTCCTGGCATGGGTAACGGCACACAGGGCCAGGAACCTGTCCTGTAGGTCAGCCCAGGACTGCTGGAGCGGCAGAAGTTGTGCCCGGATGCGATGGACACTGGGTCTCTCAGGGCATCCTGACAGATGGGACAGCTGACTTCTGCCCAAAGTCCTGCAGAGATGCTTCGACCGCCACTGGGCCCTGAATGAAGGACTGCACTGAGGTGGGTTTTCTTCAGGAAGTCGGGCTCTGTGAGATGTCTCCCCCGAGCAGCAGAGGCACCCTCAGACCTCACTGTCCTTCCTGTCCTGAGTGATTCACTTTCCTGAGACCACTGGCCGCAGGTGTCAGAGGAGCACCAGTCACCACCTGCAGCTGATCAGCGTAGTTGAATCCAGCTCAGAAATCCTCTTGGTCAGAAAGCGGACATGGTTTTAAAGTACTTTTCATGTCTTGAGTTTGGATTCCCTTTCGAGGTACACTGTCTCCTCAGCTGGGCACAGAGCAGGTGCTCAGGAAGCCACCGCCTTACCTCCTGCAGCCACTTGGTCCCATCTCCCGACTCATCCGTGTTTCAGGTCGTGGGTGGGTCTAAGTCTGGTCTCCCAGAAAGGTTCTCAAAGCCAGTCTGACACCAGATTGCGGGGTCTCTCTCATCGATGTCTCTCTCTCTCTCTCTCTCTCCCTTCCTCTTTCTCTAAAATCAATGAAAAAAAATTAAAAAATAAAAAGAATAATTGTTTCAATAAATGGTCTGGAACAATTGGAAACTCATGTGAAAAAAAAGAAGAGAGGAAGGGAGGGGGACAAGAAGGAGAGGGGGAGGGAGGGAGGGAGGAAGGAAAGAAGAATCTCAACCTTTACCTCACACAATATATAAAAGTTAACATAAAATTACTCATAAACTGAAATAAGATCTAAAACTATAAAAATTCTAGAAGAAAACCTAAGAAAAAATACTACCCATCATGAGTTTGTCTAAAATTTCTTTCTTTTTTTGTTAATTCTCACCCAAAGATATGTTTTCCATTGATTTTCACAGAGAGTGGAAGGGACGGAGGGAGAGAGGAAGAGAGAGACAGAGAAACATTGATGTGAGATAGACACATCGATTAGTTTACCTCCCACATGACCGCAACCGGGGCCAGGGATGAACAACAACCGAGGTACGTGCCCTTGGCCAGAACTGAACCTGTGACTCTTTGGTCCAAGAGCCGATGCTCTAACTGCAGAGCCAAACTGGCCAGGGCAAATAATCCATTTTTTAAAGAGCAAAAGATTTGAAGATACTTTATGGAACAAGATATATAGATAGAAAAACAAACATATGAAAACATGTTCAACACCATTAGTCATTAGTGAAATGAAAATTAAAACCACTTGAAGCCGGCAGCTGTGGCTCAGTGGACTGAGCACTGTCCCATGGACTGAGCGGAGGTCCTAGTTCAATTCCCGGTCAGGGCACATGCCCAGGTTGTGGGCTCAATCCCCAGTAAAGGGCGTGCAGGAGGCAGCCAATCGGTGTTTCTCTCTCACATCGATATTTCTCTCTCTCTCTCTCCTTTCCTCTTTCTCTAAAAAAATCAATAAAAACATCTTAAAAAATAAATAAGATAAAATAAAACCACTTGAAATACCACTACATCTCCACTGCAGTGGATAAGATAAAGAAGACATTACCAAGTATTAGCAAGAATGTCTAGCATCTAGAACTCTCAAAGATTGTTGGTGGGAATGTAAAATACTGCAACCACTTTGAAAACAGTTTGACAATTTTTTTAAAAAATTATCACACACCAACAAAAATTCAACCATTCCAGTCCTATGTATTTACCCAAGAAAAAAGAAAACATGTGTCCATGCAAAGACTTATACATGAATCCCAAGGACTTTACTTGTAACAACAAAAAACTGGAAACAACTCCAACGTTGACCAACAGGTGAATGGAGACAACTTGCGGTGTGTCCGTCCATACAATGGAAAGCTACTGGGCAATGTAAAAGCATGAACTGCTGATACATACAATATGGATGAATCTCAAATAATACACTATAGAAAGGATGCCAGAAAAAAAGAGTGCATAGTTTTGATTCCATTTATATAAGACTTAAAATTGCAAACGTATTTATAGTGATGGAAAGCGGACTAGAAACTGCAGTGGGGGGGGGGTGAAGAAGGGCAGGAGGGAGGCATTTCAAAGAGGCAGGAAGAAATTCTTGGTGATGATGGATATGGTCATTATGTGCTTGTGGTCATGGTTCCCAGGTGTAGACATATGTCAAGACTCATTAAATTATACACTTAAAATACATACAGTTTATTTCGTTTTAATTATATCTCACAGCTGTAAACAAATGACTTGTCATATGACCCATTCTTCAGAGGAATGGAAAACTGGCAAATAAATTCACACCAGTGAGATATGTTTTCTGGCTGGGGATATTCAATGTTTTGCTGAAACATATACCAAAAGATAACAATGGGGGTACGATAGTAGAGACCTATAGGTCAGGAGAATGTTCTACCACTGTTCAAATCATCTACAGAAACTGCACAATGTTCTCACCTTGTGTGGGGCATGGCCAGATACAAGAAAGGGGGATAATCTAGACATGTGACTTGTACATTAACCAGTCACATTAACAGTAAGTTTTGAAAATCACTTACCTGGATTTGTCTTTTAACTTAGGAACCAGAACTTTTACTGACTGTTCTTGTAAATCTGAAGAATACTCATGTTCTGAAATGACTTCTAATGGCGGAAATTAAAAATAAAAAACATTGTTTCTCAAGTAAATATTTAAATATAAATATACCATTCAAGTGTTATTTATGATAGATTAAAAAATCTGACCTTGTTGTGTATCATCCAGTTTCACTTTTTCAGGTGAACTATCAGCTTTCTTTGTTTGCTGCAGAAAAAATATGTATTTAATTACGGTGTCTTTGAAGCCCTGTTTTATCGTTCTTTTGGAGCCGCTATTCAGCTCCAAAGAGAAGCATTTCCATTGAGTACTAAGAGACCAGGCTCTGTTTATTAGAGTTGGCTCCAAATGACTGTTAGCTGTTCCAATAAACTGGTATTCACCCTCAGGAGAAAATCTGCCACTATCAAAGACAGTAAGAGTGTTGCAGAGTTACTAGGAGGAAACATCAAAGGAAAACTTACAAAAATGTCTTTAAAAGCATCAGAATTGTTGGATAAGCACAGAACTTCTAAAGGAGACTATCTGGAGGTTTTAGTATATTTTTGTGTGTTTTTTTAAATCATTACACTCTCAATCACACTTCTATCTGATGTGTCCAGGTAATCAAATCTAAGAAAGGAGAAAGGAACAGAATACCTACACATGTTAAGCAGGATGTGAGGTGATGTACACGTTCTGCTTTTAATCCTAGAGATCCAAATTGAGACCAGCTATTGCCTCTGTTTTATAGGTGGGACTCTTCAGGCTCAATGATGTTAAGTAATCTGCCCAAGTTCCCACAGGTAGAAAGTAAAAACCAGGTCTATCTCCAAAGATTAGGCTCCTTTCCCTATATCTCAGGCGCCAGATCCCAAATGAGGGACCAGGGCAGAGCCCGCCCAGTCACTCACTCCACGGAGAGCCAAGGTGAGAGAAAGGAGAGACCACATAAACATGGCAGGCAAAAATATCTCAAGGAGGAGATGGTCAGCACAGACAGATGTTTGAGCTGGAGAAAATGGACTACAAGCCAGGAGAGATAGCTTTCCAGCTCCCCGTACTCACAGCGAGCTCAGACTGGTCATTTATGGGGAGAGTTATTAGGCGGTGGTCAACTTCAGCACCCGTTAACTCTGCCCGCTCGGTGGATTCTTCTGCCTGGGCTACCAGATTAAGAAAAGAGCATATAAAAGTGATCACAATATCTAAAAAGTGTGCACACAGCAGTAGGCACACATTCTCCAACTGCTCTTCGTGGGACCCTCAGTGCAGGGACATCACCATCTTTCGGTAAGAGCGGGTAAATCGGGTCAGGTCTCAAACCTTATACTGGAATTCTATAGGGAATGGAGAAAACAGCCTTGGGCTGGAACCCATAACAGGGTCCGAGAGCTGTGCGGGGCGGCTTTCTAGGTAGCCGCTCCCGCACACCGTCTCCTGTCGCCTGCCACCCACGTCATTCCTTCTCTTTGTCACTTCCAGTTGACCCAGAAGAGATACTGTATCAGGTGGAGAAAATGATTCCAGGCTATTATCAAGTTTTCTTTCTCCAAAGTCACAATAATACATTTATTACTCTGATATGATCATAGGTGTTCAGTGACCTCTTCCAAGTAAGGTTTTATCATTATTTTTATAGGGAATACAGAGTTAGATATGTGTTATTTCCCAATATACCTGGCTCTCTCTTGTGGGTGACAGGACTCTCAGTGTCTTCCTTTTCAAACTCATCAAGAAGTTCTGAGGAGATTTTTGTCTGGTCAGACATCTGAAAAGCAGCCGAAAGCCAGTAATTTTTAAAATGATTTTTAAAGCCAGTAATTAAAAAAAAAAAAAATCAAGAAAAATTTAAAGCTCAGAAACTGCACATTGATACATGAGAAGTTACATCTTCATTTTGTCCTCTTTTGAAGGATCATTTCACTGTTCCAGCTTCTCTGCCTCCCTCCCTCCCCCAGAAGCAGCTCTGGCTGACCTCTTCCCTGCCCCCAGCCACTCCCTCCCTGGGGCTCACAGCCCCTGCTTCCTCTGGCCCCATCTGACCCCTTGTAACTTCTCTCCCTGCTTCACTCAGGAACTGCAGCTCTCGGGAAGAGGCTGCACTGAGCTCCCAACGGTAGGCTCTCGCCATCCCCTTCCTCCCATGGTCGAGCGATGATGGCTCAATAGCATGTAAAGCCCAACTTTCTCCCAAAACATCTTATTCACTATATGAAATGTGGAAATACATATAATTCTGATATTTTTCATGAATAAAGGCAAACCTATAGTGTCAGGCCAACTCATATGAAGTATGATGGAGGAGATATTTTTTTATTAATTGATGGATTCTACTTTTCTTTCTCATCTTCGTCCATGAAATGGTCTTCTCATGGGTTTTTGGAAACTATATTTGCAGAGCACTTTAGCATGTAGGAAATGATTTTATATACAACTCGAAGTCAAAGAAACCCAGCCTGATACCTACTCTCTCGGGTCTCTGACATCTTAATTCGACCCCTAGTGACCATAACATAGTGTTTTATGTCTTCTTGTCACAATTTCTTTTCCCTGCCTACTGTCCATGATAGAAAAAGGCTACTTGTCCTGGCCAGTTTGGCTGAACCGTTGGAACGTCAGCCTGCAGATCAGAGAGTCCGGGTTTGGTTCCGCTAAGGGCAGGTACCTGGGTTCGTGGGCCGACGATCTAACCCCTGAGCCAAACTGGCCAGGGCTGAGAAACAGTTCTTAAAAGGCTCGCGCATGCGGACTCACCTTCCCCAGGGTCCAGCATGGAGGCAACCCTCTGAAAAGAACACAGATTTTCTGTGAAAGAAGCTTATTTGCTTATCTTGAAACATCAATCTGAGGGGCAGCTCTAACTGAACACACATCTAGGGGGTCTACTGAAATACTCTCTAGGGACAGAAGCCGGAAAGCACCATCTTTACGCTCTCCCTTGGTCTTGCTCTAGCTTGCCAATGTCTCCAGGAAAGGAGCTTGTGCCTTGATTTTTGCAGCTACCACCCAGGGGACACCTCTAAATTGCATGGCTTTGGTGGCCAGCAGTGCTTAAACCCACAGGTCCCTCAGGACTGCAACCAATGAAGAGAGAGTTCTGAACCAGCTACCACCCCAGGACACAGCAGAGACACAAACGACCGAGATGTCCAGTCTTTTTTGAACGAGGTCTATTCGCTTCTTTTCACAGCTGCTGCCTGAGAGGCGGGTCTCCAGGTAAATGCACACCGTAGGGCTGGGTGTAAACCCTCACACTCTCCCTCCACCTGCTCCAGAGCACCAGGGTCTCCCAGAGGGCAGCTTGTATATGCATCTGGTGCTCCAGTTTCGGTGGCTGCCACCCAGGGTATGCCGCTGGCATGCCTGATTCTGATGGCCAGCAGGGCTTGCATTCCTGTGTCCCATAGACTATAACAACTGGAGAGCCAGTCCTTGGCTGGCTACCACCCCTCGAGCACAGCACACACAGCAGTCTAAAACAGGCCCCAGTCTTTCTCTGAAAGAGGCCTATTTGTTTTCCTGAAGCTCTGGCAAGAGGGTGAGACTTCTAGATACGCACATGCATAGAGGCTACTGAAATACTCTCCAAAACAGAGGCCCATAGACGTCACCTCTGCACTTCCTCTCTCCTCACGACGGCTCACCAGTATCTACCAGAAAGGAGCCTGTACCATCACTTAGCACCCCAATTTTTGTGCCTGCCACCCAGGGGAAACATCGAGATCACCTGGCTCTAGTGGACAGGGCTTGTACTCACAGCCCCACAGGGACTCTATATATTTACATATTTAACTGTGCGCAGCCTGGTGCACCGTCTCCGCCGCTGGGGCCTGCTTCCTCGAACCAACCCCCAAGCCCAGGCCCCTGAGACCAGATCCCAGGTCACACCTTCTGACACTCCCCTCGAAGCCCGTGATGGCAGCACAGGTCCAGCCTGTGAGGTTGGGGCAGTAGGTGGGCAGGATGAGGAACAGGCACCCCCACTGCCTGTCAAGGCTCCCCTTCCATCTGCCAGCATATCTCCAGCCCTCCCTACTGTCCAGATGGCCCAGGGCCCCTGCCCTCAGTGCCCCAAGAACCATCACTGTTGTCTGGAGAGGTGCAGGCCCTGTGAGGCTGCCTCCTGCCCAGGCTTCGGCCCCCGAGACCAATCTGAACCCCATTTCAACCCCATACAATAGTCCTGTCCCCAGAAGATGAAGATGATGTACTGCTGGTGCCACTGGCTGAGCCAGATGTCTGGGTGGTTGAAGCAGAGGTGACCCAGCTCTTTTTGGGGCTCTAGTCACAGTGACCTTTTAGAAAGCAGCATAGCTTCCCTTCCACTACTTCCTGCCCTAACCTAGGTCTGAGGGAACTTGGTGAGTTTCTTTTTGGTCCTGTGCAGCTACTGTCAAGTTAGGTGTCCCTCGGGCAGAGAGAGGGCCCACATAGAGCTTCCTCTGTACCTGGCCAAAAAGCACAGTCTCTCCACCACCACCCTCTCCTCACACTATCACCATTTGGGTGGCTCTTTTTATTATTATTATTTTTTTATCCTCACCAGAGGACATTTTTGCATTTATCTTCAGATAGAGCAGGAGAAAGAGGGGGGAAGAGAAGGAGAGAAACATCCACATGAATGAGACACATCGAGTGGCTGCCACCCACATGACCCCAACTGGGACTGGGGATAAACTGCAACCGAGGTACATGCCCTTAGCGGGAACCGAACCCAGGATGCTCTGGTCCGCAGGCCGACGCTGTAACCGCTGAGCCAAACCAGCCAGGGTGTGGGTGGCTCTTTTTAAAAAGTTAAGTTCTTAGGAGGTCACAGTCCTGAACACTCCATGCTTGCCAATTTCCTACCCAAAAGTGGCCTTAAGCACCAGTGTGCCAATTAGAGGATTTAGGCAGGGCCTGTGGTTTTTCCAACTGTGATCCTTCCTATAGGGCCTGGCTAAAAAAAAGAGCACACCAAATGCTTTTATCCCATAGCTAGGTCATTGCCCAAAAGTCAAGGTTGAAAATGAACCAGAAATTAAAAAAAACAAAAAACAAAACAAGGTGTTGGCTGGTCTGGGTTTTTTATGTTTGTTTGTTTGTTTGTTTTTTATCCTCACCCAAGGACATTTTTCCATTTTTTTGTTCAGATAGAGTGGGAGAGAGAGAGGGAAAGAGAGAGAGAAAAAAACATTGATGTGAAAGGGACACATCGAGTGGTTGCCACACATACTACCCAACCAGGGCTGGGGACAAACTGCAACTGAGGTACATGCCCTTAGTGGGAACCAAACCTGGGTCTCTCTGGACCACAGTCCAACGCTCTAACTGCTGAGCCAAACCAGCCAAGGCTGATGATCTGTTTTTTAATCAGCCTGAATCTAGGTGTAGACTGAGATCTTCCCCTTTGGAACACTGACAGCTCTTGGCACAACCTCAAATACTAGGAGCCACTAAAATTAAAAGAGACTGCTTGCATAATCATGGGATTGAGAGATAACTAAGTGCTAGGGCAGGATGAACAGCAAGGTTCATCTCCTTGTGAGGCCACTCCTTCAGATTGGAAGAGGTGGCTGTTTTATCTAAAGCATAGAAATCAACAGAGAGCCCTGGCCAGTTTGGCTCAGCGGTTAGAGCATCGGCCTGCAGTCCGGAGAGACCCAGGTTCAGTTCCCGCTTAGGGCACGTACCTCGGTTGCAGTTTGTCCCCGACCCTGGTTGGGTTGTGTGGGGGGCAGCCACTCGATGTGTCCCTTTCACGTCGATGTTTCTCTCTCTCTCTGTTCCTCTCTCTCCCTCCCACTCTACCTGAACAAAGAATGGAAAAATGTCCTCGGGTGAGGATGATTAAAAAAAAGAAAAAGAAAGAAATCAACAGAGAGAGTAAAAGGAAAATGAAGAAACAAAGTAACATGTTCCAAATGAAAACAAAATAAAGCTCAGAAGAAGACCTTAGTGAAAAGGAGGTAAGTGATTCACCTAATAAGCAGTAAAAATAATGGCCATAAAAATGCTCACCAAACTTGGAATAATAATGGATTAACACAGTGGCACCTTTAAAAAAGACATAACAAATATAAGAAAGTACCAAATAGAAGTCACAGACCTTAAAAATACAGTAACTAAACAGAAAAATATACTACAGAAGTCTAGCAGCAGACTAGATGAAACAGAAGAAAGAATCAGTGACCTAGAAGACAAGGCGGGACAGTAGAACTCACCCAATCAGAGCAGCAAAAAGAAAAAATAATTTAAAAAGTGAGGATAGTGTAAGGGACTTATGGGACATCAAGCACATAAACATTCACATTATAGGGGTCCGAGAAGGAGAAGAAAGAGAGAAAGGGACAGAAAATTTATCTGATTAAATTATGGCTGAAAACTTCCCTAACCTGGAATAGGAAATAGACATCCAGATCCAGAAAACCCAAAGAAGTGAAAGAAAGAAAGAAAGAAAGAAAGAAAGAAAGAAAGAAAGAAAGAAAGAAAGAAAGAAAGAGAAAGAGAAAGAGAGAAAGGGAGAAAGAAAGAACTCAGGCCCTCATCATGATACATAATAACTAAAGTGTCAAAAGTTAAAGACAAAAAGAGAATCTTAAAAGCAGCAAGATAAAACCAATTCGTTACATACAAGGGAATCCCACTAAGACTATCAGTTTTCTCAACTGAAACTTTGCTGGCCAAGGGTGTGTGGCACAATCCATTAAAAATGCTGAAAGAAAGAACTTCCAACCAAGAATACCCTGGCTGACAATGCTCTCATTGGAGATAAAATGTTCCAGACAAGCAAAAGCTCAAGGAGTTCATCATTACTAAACCATCTTTACAAGAAATGTTAAAAGGACTCTCAAGTCTTAAAAAAAAAAAAGGGTGCTAAATAGTAACAGGTAAATATATAGCCTTGGCCCCCATGGCTTAACTGGTTGGAGTGTCATCCGATACACCAAAAGGTGGCAGGTTCAATTCCCGATCAGGACACATGCCCAGGTTACAGGTTCAATCTCCATTTGGGGTGTGTGCAGGAGACAACTGATTGATATTTCTCTCTCACATTGATAATTTCTCTCTCTTTACCTCCCTTCCTCTCTCTGAAATCAATTAAATAGCCCTGGCTGGTATGGCTCAGTCGTTAGCAGTGGTTCTCAACCTTCCTAATCCCGTGACCCTTTGATACAGTTCCTCATGTTGTGGTGACCCCCAACCATAAAATTATTTTTGTTGCTACTTCATAACTATAATTTTGCTACTGTTATGTCTTAGGTGACCCCTGTGAAAGGGTTGTTTGACCCCCAAAGGGGTCATGACTCACAGGTTGAGAACCACTACGTTAGAGCATTAGACTGCACACAGAAGGGTGGCAGGTTCAATCCTCGGTCAAGGGCAGGTTTGATCCCTGGCCCTGGTTGGGATGCATGTGGGAAGCAACCAATCAAAGTGTCTCTCTTACATTGATGTTTTTCTCTCTCTCCCTCCCTCCCTCTCTAAAAATCAATGTAAAAAATATCTTTGGGTAAGGATTAACAAAAAAGTAAAATAATAAAATCAATACAAGCCTCATGGCAACAAAGCAAAAACCTATCATAGACACAAAAAGAATAAAGAGAAAAGACCTAAGCATAACACTCAAGAAAAATCATCAAATCACACAGGAACAGAGCAAGAGAAGGAAGAAACAGAGGAAGTACAAAACAGCCAGAAAATAATTAACAAAATGGCAATCAGCATGTACCTATCAATAACTTTAAATGTACATGAATTCAATTCTATAATCAAAAGACAGAGTGGTTGAATAGACTAAAAAAAAGAACCCATCTATATAGACACACACAGACTGAAAGTGGAAACCAAAAGAAATGGGTAGCTATACTTATATCATATAAAACAAAGGCTAGCCCTGGCTGGTTTGGCTCAGTAGTTAGAGCATCGGCCCGTGGACCTAAGGGTCTCGAGTTCAATTCCAAGTCCAGGGCATGTACCTGGGTTGCAGTTTCGATCACTGGCCCTGGTTGGGGTCATGCAAGAGGCAACCAGTTGATGTGTCTCTTACATCGATGTTTCTCTCTCTCTCCTTCCCTCCCTTTCACTCTATCTCTATCTAAAAATCAGTGGGAAAATATCCTCAGGTGAGGATTAATGACAAAAAAAGACTAAATAAGAGACAAAAAAGGTCATTATATAATGATAAAGGGGTCAATCCTACAATACAATATAATATTTATAAATATAAAGCAAACAGTAACAGATCTAGAAATAGACAAAAATTGCATATTTGAAAATTGCTAAGAGAGTAAATTAGTTCTTGTCACAAGAAAAAATCTTTATGGCAATTGCTATTAACTAGACTTACTATGGTGATCATTTTGGTATATATACAAATATTGAATCATTATGTTGTACACCTGAAACTAATACAGTCATGCACCACTTAATGATGGGGATGTGTTTTGAGAAATATATCATTAATTGATGTTGTTGTTGTGCGAACATCATGGAGTACACTTACACAGATCTGGATGGTAGAGCCTATTACACACCTATGCTATATGGTATAGCCTACTACCCATAGTCTACAATCCTGTACAGCACGTTACCATATAAAACAACATGAGGTTAAAACAAACACAACATAAAATGATGCAATCAAATGATGTCTCTCTTACATCAATGCCTGTCTCCCGCCCCCATTACTCCCTCCCACTCTATGTAAAAATAAAATCAATGGAAAAATACCCTCAGGTGAGGATTAAAGAAAAAAGACAGAGTAAACAGATGTATGAGGCTGCTGCCAGTTAACACAGCATACCGTTTTACAGCAAACGTTTCTTAATAAGAAGAGTATTCCATGATGAAAATATAGTGTAGTAAGTTCATAAATCAGTAATATTGTTGCTTATTATCAAGTATTATGTGCTACGCTTGTATGCAACTGGCTGTGCAGTAGGTTTGTTTACACCAGCATCACTACAAACGCATAAGTAATGCATTGCACTATGACAATGTTATGAGTGCTATGAGGTCACTAGGTGATAGGAATTTTTCAGCTCTGTTATAATCTTATGAGACCACCCTCATCTATGTAGTCTGTCAATGACTGAAACATTCTTATGGGACACATGATTGTATAATATGTCAATTATATTTCAATTTTTAAACAACCCAACATGAAAATTTAAGAGACATGAAAACATACCAAAACAGTTAAATAATCAAAGTGACTAAACATACCACCTGTTTGTCTTCTCCTAAAGCTTCAATGGAAGCTTGTGATATGTTGAATTGCAAATCAAAATGGATTTCTATTTTCCTCACTTCTTTGTTTCTGATATTAATAGGCTTCACATAAATGATGAACATCTTCTTCTTTTCAGTTTCTAGCAAAAAATAAAATATACCAAGGCATATCAACACCCTGAAAGTTTGTATTTTAAATCTTTATAATTTTAAATAAATGCACTGAGATATTTGTTAACTATCTAGATTTTTTCCGCAATGAGTTGAAAAGAAATTACCTACAATTTTTGCTTCAAAGTGACTTTTTAAAAAAAAATAATAATAATCAGGTTTCTACACTTGTATATAAGGATTTTTTTTATAGCCAACAAGCTTTTTTTCTGGTACCAAGACTTAACCAATTAGACACAACTTTATTATGCAATGTGACCAATAATATGGAACTCTATTACATGACCTATATATTTATGGTTCAAGACAGGTCATTCACGCCCTGGCCAGTTTGGCTTAGTAGTTAGAGCATTGGCCCACAGACCAGTCATGGGTTTGATTCCAGTCAAGGGCATGTACCTTGGTTGCGGTTTGTTCCCAGTCCTGGTCTAGATCATCAGGAGGCAAACAGTCGATGTATCTCTCTCACATCGATGTTTCTCTCTCCCTCTCTCCCTCTCTCCCTCCCACTCTCTTTGAAGAAAAATGAAAAAATATCCTCCAGTGAGGATTAAAAAAAAAGACAGGACATTCACACCAGACAGCTATTGTGTTGGCTGTTGTCGTTTTTCATCTGACACTCTAAGGGAAAAGAGGTCAGTGCCCCTGATTAAATAGTCAGGTACTGCATGTTTTAAAAATTATTTTTTTGGCCCTGGCCGGTTTTGCTCAGCGGTTAGAGCGTTGGCCTGCGGTCCAGAGAGACCCAGGTCGGTTCCTGCTGAGGGCATGTACCTCGGTTACAGTTTATCCCCGGCCCTGGTTGGGTCATACAGGTGACAACCACTTGATGTCTCCCTTTCACATCGATCTTTCTCTCTTTCTTTCTCCTCCTCTCTCTCCCTCCCACTCTATCTGAACAACAACAACAAAAAATTATTTTTTTGGTAAATCAGTCAAAATTATACCTATTTTTTAAAATCAAATTAGCAAAAAAAATGTAATATATTTTTTGGTGTGCCACAGAATTTTAGTAATTAGTATATGTGCTGTGAGATGAAAAAGGTTGAAAATTGCTGGCTTAGACCAAGATTCAAGGAGAGTTCAAGAATAAGCCACATTAAGTACATGCTGAGTTAGAAACAGCAAGAGAGAAAAGAGAGTCAAGTCTATGAAAGAATAGACAGAGCTAACGGTCACAAACTGATGAGGATGGAAAGAGAAAAAAAGAGTGAGACACACCCAGGTCTAGATTTGTGGCTACTGAGGACTTGCAATGTGGCTGATACAAAGCGAAGTGCACCATAAGCTTAAAATACACATCAGTTTGTGAAGACAGTACAAAAAAGAGAAAGTAAAATATCTCAATTTTTCATATTAATTACATGTTAAAATGTTAATATTTTGGATATACTCTGTTAAATGTATATTATTAAAATTAGTCCACTTAAAAAAATTTCTTAATGTGGCTACGTGAAAATTTAATATTCAATTAAACATGTGGCTCACACTAGGTTTCTATAGGATGATGCTGGCTTAGAGAAAAGCTCAGCAATCCTTCCAAACACCAATCTTACTGGACCTCTAGTCACTGCGGGAAAAGTCTATGAAACACTGCAACAGAAGTAATTAAAACAATGTCTAAAAAAGTAAATAGCCCTGGTCGGTTCTGCTCAGTGGTTAGAGCGTCGGCCCTCAGACCAATGAGTCGCAAGTTCGATTCCGGTCAAGGGCAAGTACCTCCGTTGCAGTTTGTCCTCAGCCCTGGTTGAGTCATGTAGGAGGCAACTAGTCGATGTGTCTCTCTCACATTGATGTTTCTCTCTCTCTCCCTCCTTCCCACTCTATCTGATGATAAATGGAAAAATATCCTCAGTAAGGATTGAAAAACGTAAAGAGCTATCTGGGCTGTAGAACTCAATGCAAACATTCAAGGGGCAGTAGAAATGGTCTAAAGGCGGCACTAAGCACTCAACACACTGCTAACACATTGCCCGGTCCTTGCCGAGAAGGCGCACACAAAACTAAGGTGTGGTTTGGAGAGTTTGCTGGGCAGTCTTCAGTTTCCTTGGCTATAAAGATAGAAAGTAACACCTACCTCCTTAAGGTACTATGAGGCACATTATAGTAGCAAGGCTTAGAGTTCAGGAACTTAAACTATGAAACTATGAAAACAATGTTAGGGGTACCACAGTCAGAAAATCCAGAGAAGTCCTTAAATACTGACTTAGAGTAAATATCAACAATATTGCATGTATCTTAAATTAATAGTAACAGGTAATGACAATATAAATTAACTTATTCTTAATTTATATTTATGAGTATACTTAATTTACCTTTCTAGTGAGTTATTTCTCTTTACTACTCATAGGAGGTACTTCCAACTAATGTATCCTGTCTTCCCAATTCTGTGACTGCGTAACTACTAACTCTTCTCATCTGGAACACAATAAGAACTATACATTTGGCCTCTGCCTGGGTTCCTGACTCCAGGCTCCGAAAACCTTTGTAATTTCCTGAGTGCTAAGAGTGCTAGAAGCATCTTTTCTTCCAATATTTGTTCTATGACCCCTGTTCCTGGCACAAGAGCTAAGATCCCTAGGAGTGTCATTTGTGTGCTAATGAGGTGACTGGCGGCTCCTCGAAGCATCAGGATGGGGGCCGGTCCCAGAAAGACTAAGGCACCACTAGAGGGCTGGAACCTTCAGACCCACCCCTCAATGTCCAGGGAGGGGAAAGGGGCCAGAGACTGGGTTAAGAATCCATCATGCCTCCGTGATAAGCCTCCATGAAAATCCCTAAAGGAGGGGTTCATAGAGCTTCCAGGATGGTGAACACATCCTTGCATCAGGAGGGTGGAGCACCCCAATTTCACAGGGACAGGAGCTCCTGCACTCAGGACACTTCCGGACTCACTCTGTGTACCTCTTAACCTTGCTCATCACCTGTATTCTTTATTATATCCTTTATAATACACTGGTGACTCAAATAAGTGCTTCCCTGAGTTCTGTGAGCCATTATAGCAAAGTATCAAACCTGAGGAGGAGGCTGTGGGAACCCCTGACTTGTAGCTAATTGGTCAGAAGTCTAGGTGGCCACCTGGTGTGACAGCATAGAAAGAAGCTAGAAAAATCCCTGGGCAAGTGGAATGGGGAAACTGGGACAAGAAATTAAACCCGGCCAAACATTCACCAGCTTGTGAATCATAAGACCTTATCTTCCCCAACCAAGGACACTTGAGGGGAAATGGTTCATACCTCTCCTCCCTAAGCAGAGAATAATACAGAGCTTCAACCACCCTGGCCTGGGAAGACAGAGAGCAAAGATCCAATTAATGCCATCTGTGCCAGCTAACCCAAGGCAGATGAAGTCTGGGGGACAAGTACCCAAACCTCCAAGGCATTTGGACAGTATCACTTGAGGGGGTTGTGTGGCAGAAAAAATAGCTGCCAGGGCAGAAGGCAGGGAAAGGGGAAAATAAGGGGGAGTTTTTCTCATACACTGAACAAAAAGTAAGCAGTCTTAGGACTTCCCAAGATAAAATCACCAGATGTTCTCATAAACTCTGGGAAAAGCTGCAACAATGTAAAAGGGGACTTTGAAATCTAGTCTTTCTGGCAGGGGAACCTTGATACCTACGGGGGTGGGATGGGGTGGGGCAGAGTATAAACCCTTGAACCCCCACAAGGCAGGTAACTCAGACTAGCTGAGTTGCCCACTTGTGCTTTATGCCAAGTGCACCCTTAATAAATCCACTTGCTTTGCTTCCTTAATAAATCTGCTTGCTTTGCTTTAATACTGCTGTCACTCACCTGAATTCTTTCTCGTGAGTGTGACAAGAGCCGTCAAAAAAAATTAAAAAAATAAAAAAATAAAAAAAAAAGCCCTGGCCGGTTTGGCTCAGCGGTTAGAGCGTCCGCCTGCGGTCCGGAGAGACCCGGGTTCGGTTCCCGCTAAGGGCATATACCTCGGTTGCAGTTTGTCCCCGGCCCTGGTTGGTCGTGCGGGTGGCAGCCACTCGATGTGTCCCTTTCACATCGATGTTTCCCTCTCTCTCTCTTCCTCTCTCTCCCTCCCACTCTATCTGTACAAAAAATGGAAAAATGTCCTCGGATGAGGATTAAAAAAATAAATAAATAAAAATAAAGAGCCATCAAAGGGGAGAGCCACCTTTGACTCCTGGTTACACTGGGACTTATAGTCATAAGTGGGGGCAGTCTTTCTTGTGCGTGAGCCCTCGGCCCATGGGGTCTGCACTCACTCCAGACAGTTAGTGTCAGAATTGCTTAATGTGAGGGAAACCTATACATTTGGTGTCAGAAATCCCAGTTCTTCTAACTGCCAGGCTCCTCGGCTGTCAACTGGTATATCTATAGTTCCAAAATGTAGGCTCCCTTCTCTTCCTCTGTCCCTTGGTTCTCCCAGAGCTTCACTGGGAAAGTCTCTCCTCCTCTACTGCCATTTGATTTGCTGCCTCATCGATCCCTGTCCTAAAGTTCCCCGCTTTTCCTAATATATCCAACAGGAGAAAGTAAAAATTCCTGCACATTAGAACAAATTCTCACAAGCACTGAGAAGAACAAATACAGCAAACTGTGACACATTTTGAAATGGCCAAAAAGCTCCCAGGTGCCTCTCTAGAATCCCTTTGTGAGTTATCTGCCCTTTCCATCATCTTTGAAGCTATTTACAAATCTGTGAGTTGTAGAAAATGGATAATAATGAGAATGATTCTTGTCCCTGGAAATGCAAATTAATTGTGTCTCTGGAATGCAATTGTCTAGTCTTAAATCTATTTGTAAATCAATTTCAGCATTGCTTCTATATGTGTGATTTTTAACTCTCCTTTGAACTGGTTACTACAGCTCACTGATTTCCTCATTAATTGCTGAGTTAAATGAAATCCTCAACTCAGATTCATTTAATATTTGTATGAGGATCATGATTTCCTCTTTTCAAAAAGTATCGTTTAACACAACAATAAAGTTAGCTTATGGCCCTGGCCGGTTTGGCTCGGCGGTTGGAGCGCCGGCCCGTGGACCGGAGAGTCCCAGGTTCGGTTCCCACTAGGGGCACGTGGCTCAGTTCCGGTTTGTCCCTGGCCCTGGTTGGGGTCATGTGGGTGGCAGCCACACGATGTGTCTCTTTCACTTCGATGTTTCTCTCTCTCTTCCTCCCTCTCTCCCTCCCACTCTGTCTGACAAATAAATGCAAAAATGTCCTTGTGTGAGATTAAAAAAAAAAAAAGTTAGCTTATGTACAAAATTCCAGCAAATAAACTCAGGGCTGAGGAAGGATTACCTTATTCTAAGTGGTCCCACGGAAGAACCTTCAGTTAGAGTTCAAGGCTAGGAAGGGTTTGCTCTCCCCAGGACTTGTATGATGAGAAAGATGGTGTTACAGAGTATGTTTCAATTTCCACCCTGCTTTCAGAAGCTAAGCACCAAATCTGATTCTCCACGTTGGCTGTTTTAGACTGGCCTTCATGACAGACATTTTTATTCTTGTCTGTGATTCTAATTTTCCATTTTTATCATTTTGGTATAAAATGCAAGCTGACCTAAATCTTCCTTGGAAAGAAGTGAAGTTATACATATAATCATCACATAATATTTCATTTTAAACCTTTGTTAAACCCAATTATTATTTATTTTCTTTATTGATTTTTAGAGAGAGAGATAGAAACATCGATGAGAGAGAACATCAATCGGCTACCTCCTGCATGCCCCTGACTGGGGATTTGGCCCACAACCTGGGCATGTGCCCTGATCGGGAATCGAATCGGCGGCCTCCTGGTGCATGGGTCAACGCTCAGCCACTGAGCCACACTGGCCAGGCTTAAACCCAATTATTTAAAAAATATTATATATATTAAGTTACTTTAAAAAAATGTCACTTTATTTTTTGGTTCATTTATTATTTATTCATTGAATTTACTGAGGTGACATTGGTTAATAAAACCATAATGGTTTCACCCAGCCAGTGGGGCTCAGTGGATGAGCATCAACTCATGCACCAAGAGGTTGCCAGTTTGATTCCTAGTCAGGACACATGCCCAGGCTGTGGGCCTGATCCCTAGTGGGAGGCATGCAGGAGGCGGCCAATCGATGTTCCCTCTCATCAATGTTTCTATCTCTCTCTCCCTCTCCCTTCCTCTCTAAAGTCAATAAAGAAAAAAATTTTTTTTAAAACCACAACGGTTTCAAGTGCACAACTCTATAGCACATTATCTGCACTGCATCGTGTGCTCACCTCCTAAAGTCAAGTCTCTTTCCATCCCATTTATCCCCCTTTGCCCACTTCCACCACCCCCCATCCCCTAACATCCCTTTATTTCTTTCTTTTTTTTTTTTTTTATCCTCACCCGAGGACATTCTTCCATTTCTTGTTCAGGTAGAGTAGGAGGGGGAGAGAGGAACAGAGAGAGAGAGAAACATCGACGTGAAGGGACACATCGAGTGGCTGCCACCCGCACGACTGACCAGAGCCGGGGACAAACTGCAACCGAGGTACGTGCCCTTAACGGGAACCGAACCCGGGTCTCTCGGGACCGCAGGCCGACGCTCTAACTGCTGAGCCAAACCGGCCAGGGCCCTTTATTTCTTAAAGACCCAATTTAGGAATCCTGACAGATGTTAAGCATGACTGCAGCTGAAATGCCGAACTGGACTAACAGGTTCCCTGTAGCCACCCAGACAAGGGTCACTCCTCGTTTCATGCCCCTCAACCCTGTCTACCAACCTGACAAGAACGGTGAGTGACAGAGGTTTGAGAGGGGGCAGAGGGATTCTCTTTCGATAGAGGTGGTACACAACAACGTAAACTCACGGATTATTACTATAAATTTGTGGGAAGGGAAGGACAGGTGCTACATCCATTTTTTTTAAATTATGGTCCAAAAAAATAACATTTACCATGTTAACCATTTTTAAGTGTACAGTTCAGTGGTGTATTGTGCATTGTACACCTGATCTCCAGCACATTTTTATTCTGTAAATCTGAAACTGTATCAATTAAACAACAACTCTCCATTCCCCGCCCTCCCCCGCCCCCCAGCTCCTGCCTCTATCAACTTGAGTTCTTTAGGTAACTTATGTAAGTAGAATCATAGTTTTTGTCCTTTCATGACTGCTTATTTCACTTAGCAGACTGTCCCCAAGATTCATCCATGTTGTCCCATGAATCAGAATTTCTCTCCTTTTGAAAGCTGAATAGTGTTCCACTGCATGTGTGTGCCCCGCTTTGTTTATCGACTCATCCACTGGGAGGCACTTAGGTCGTCCACCTCTTGGCTATTGTGAATGATGCTGCAATGAACAGCGGTGTTTAACCACCTCCTGAAGGCTTCCTTTCAGTTCTTCCAGATATATACCCAGAAGTGAAATTGCTAAATCACATAGCAATTTTATTTTTAATTTTTTGAAAGACTAAACTATTTTACAATGAGTAAACTGGGCAAGTAACTGAACCCCAAAGTCACAAAGCAAAGGAGTCCCCGGTCCTGTACCCCTGCACCCTAGTCCTCAGCACAGAGCTCCTTCCACCCCAAGCACAGACTGCTCTGTAATTAACTAAACACATGCTGCAACTGTAAACAGAAATAAGACAATGAGAGTTTACATCTTACCTATTATGCTGAAATTAATCACTGCTTCTTTCAAAATCCTTACTGAGTCCCACAGAGCACTCTTGGGAGAAAAATAAATGAAATCCATGAGCACATAACACATATTTGAATATGAACAATCTCTAAGAGCTTAAGTTTAAGCAGAAATCAAAGGTGGCTACCTCAGTATTAGCTATATAAAAAGTTACACTCTGACTTCCTAGGTTGAAATCAATCCAAAATTTCTCTAATTTTTCATCGGCTGGTTTTCTCATCTATAAGATATAATTTCAACAAAAATTACATACATAAATATCATGTCAAAGGGTCAGATGAAAAAATTTCCATTAAAAACCGAACTTCTGCTTTTCTTTAAATATCACCCTAATTATAGGTGTCTTTTTATTGCCTTACTCATTGCTGCAAAACAAAAGGAAGGTCTCGGTTTTATACAACTAAACTACTTCTCGGGGGAAAACCATTATCCCTAACTATTTAATACATGTTCACATATGTCAGGTGACTCTGTCTACACAAACTTTTTTTTCCCCCTGTGAAATCAGGGACAATAGTTCTATGTTTTAAGCGGGAACAATTCACACTGCACATGAATGAAAACCTCTAGTGAAGGAAGTTCTGTGATCAAATATAAGTGATTCCCCGGCCGGTGTTGTTAAGTGGTTAGAGCATCAGCTCATCGACCAAAGGGTCTTGGGTTTGATTCCCAGTCAAGGGCACGTACCTGGGTTGCAGGTTTGATCCCTGGCCCCAGTCAGGGTCATGCTGGAGGCAATCAATCAATATATCTCTCTCACATTGAGTTTCTTGTTTTCTCTCCCCCTCCCTCTCTTCCATTCTATCTAAAAATTAATTGGAAATAGCCTCAGGTAAGGATTAACAACAACAAAAAGGCAGTTATTTGCCCTCTAACTTACCATCTATTAGAACAGAGCTAAGGCTTACAGATTTCAAGTTACCTTCATTTTAATTATTATAAAGTAAATATATGCTTATAGTAAAAAGAGTCAAACAGTATGGCATTTATAGAAACAGCAAACACCTCTTTCTTTGCTTCTCGACTTCCCAGAGGTACCTTCCCACAGGCACCATTAACAATGCCTTTGTTTTCTCCCAAATGTATTACAGACATACATCAGTAAATATTGAGTATTTATTCTATGATAATGAAGCAAACACTAGACTTACTATTCTAACACCTGGCTTTCCAATAAATAGTATTTACTGGACACCTTTCCATCACCCATGCCTACTTTCTATAGCTGTAGAGTTGGGTAAAGGTTTTAACCCACAATGTATGTCACTGGAAGCCAGTGTAAGGGCCCGGTTGTAGCTGATGGAAATTCAGAAGTCCAAGACAGAAGAAGAACCAAATAGAGACTGAACTCCCCAGACAATTAGAAAGAAAATAGAATTCAGATGCAGAAATCAAACTACCAAAACCCATTCTAGAGAGAAATTTGTAGTGTAGTCATGAGTTCCATCTGCAGGTCACAGAGGCCAAGATGGGGCTCTGAACCCAAATCAAATACATCATTAATTAGGACATTAAGAAGACACAGTCCAGGAAACCCCCAACAGAGTCAAGGTTCAGAGATCTCTGAATATTTTATGCCAAAACCAATATGTGGCAGGCTGGGGCACCTTTACATGAAGGACCTTATTCCTCTGGAAACCAAAGGAAGGAGTAAAAAGAGGTTGCTCGCCTGGCCGGTTTGGCTCAGTGGTTAGAACATCGGCCTGCGGTCCAGAAAGACCCAGGTTCAGTTCCCGACAAGGGTGCGTACCTCAGTTGCAGTTTGTCCCCGGCCCTGGATGGGTCGTGCAGCCACGTCGATGTCTCTCTCTCTCTCTCTCTCTCTCTCTCTCTCTCTCTCTCCTCTCTCTCTCTCTCTTCCTCTCTCTCCCTCCCACTCTATCTGAACAAAAAATGGGAAAATGTCCTTGGGTGAGGGAAAAAAAAAAATAGAGGCTGCTCAATTTTGGAAAATACAGCACAAAGTCGAATTATCTAGAAAAAAGGAAAGTGTCCCCAATGGCTGGGGACGGAATAGGAAACATCAGTTGTGTGGAAAGAAGCCAAGCACTTGCCCTTTTCCCCTTTATCCAGACATGAATAATATTAACTACTAACAGAGTAAAATAAGGCTAGATTCCTGTAATCGACCTCATGAACACATATGAACCCTAAAATTTTTTGACCTAGTAGTAACAGTAAGACATTTAAACTTGCTAGTAATGCAGCCTGGTTCTAGTATGAGAGAAGACAGGGGAAAGAGACAATAAGCTTCAGAGTTGAGGTCTCTATGAGAAGTTGGCTTCCTTTTCTAAAGAGGAAGAGCAGCATGGGTAGCAGGAGCAGCGTGAGCCAAGTAAACCTAACCATGGGTTTTATTACACACCACCCACACGGCCCCCAAGAAATACAAACATACCTCATGCCCATCAGCAAAAGCGGCAATACATGGAAATGAATAGACCCTGTAAAATACTTCACAATTAAAAATTAAAAATGTGGATGGAAACCAATCACCACCTACAGATGTTCTACAAACAAGCATTTATAACTAGGGTATGCCATCAAGTCTCTTTGTACAAGGTATGGACGCGGATCTCAAACCTGCAAATGGAGATCCACTGTGGCTGGATTTCAAGTCTCCATCTGGCCATCTACAAGCCAGTTTTACTAGTCCTACAGCTCTGCCCAGTTGCTTGGCAGAAGTCCCAATGAAAGGAATGAACTGAGCAAATATCTTCTCATCAAGGACTTTCCTGTCCATAATACACCTATCCCTAGTGACCGCAAGTCTGTAGGAAATCTCTCTTCATAAAATCTTCCCAGAGAACCTAATGTTAGAAATATTCCAAATTATGCCCTGCCAGCATGGTTCAGTGGTTAGAGCAACAGCCCACACACCAGAGGGTTGCAGGTTCGATTCCCAGTCAAGGGCACATACCTGGATTGCAGGTTCAATCATTGTCCCTGGTTGGGGTGCATACGGAGGCCGCCAATCAGTGTGTCTTTCTTACATAGGTGTCTGTCTCTGTCTCTCTGTCTCTCTCTCTCTCTCTCTGTCTCTCTCTCTCTCTCTCTCCCCCTTCCCCCATCCCTTCCACTCTCTCTAAAACCCAATGGAAAAAATATGCTCGAATGACGATTAACAAAAAAAAAAGAAATATTCCAAATCATAAACATCCTACAAGACTGAGAGAGATTATTTTTAAACACACAAATGAATCAATAGGCTGAATGTGTCTAGTCTTCTGAGGTTTCTACTCAACGAATTAACTCAGTAGTACTCAGCAAACTATATATCCTATATTCTGTCCTAAAATAAAATAAAACAGATCCTAGATTTTTTAAATATTACACATTTTCAGAACACTAGTCAATAAAATAATGCTCAGAAAAATATCTTACCTTCTTTGGTCACCAAGTCTGTTGTTTAGGTCATTGAGAAACCGTCTACTGTCCTTCAAAGTAAATAATGCAAACTTTTAAATAGAACATCAAGATGTCTTAAATAGTACTACACTCACCAGCATGTAGAGGCCAGTGTTTGCCACCTCTGAATTTCCAGGACCTAGTAATATCACAAGGTTTCACAAGGATTCATTATTTATGTTAACTAAAACAATATTTTGAGTCACAAAGAGGAGGTTCCAGACATATGTTCTAGAAGAAATCCCCCTGCCAGGACATTTTCAGGTGAAGAATGTGTAGGTCTCCAAAAGTTACATGCACAATTACATTTCCCTTGGTTAGATGAGTAGTGAGAGAAATACATCTTATTGCCCTGGCCAGTTTAGTTCAGCAGTCAGAGCACTGGCCTGCTCACCAAACGTCACAGGTTCAATTCCCGGTCAAGGGCACGTGCCTAGGTTTTGAGTTTGATCCCCAGCCCTGGTCAGTTGGGGTCATGCGGGTCGGTGTATCTCTCTCTCATCGATGTTTCTCTCTCTCTCTGTTCCTCCCTCCCTTCCACTCTATCTGAAAATCAATGGAAAAATATCCTTGGGTGAGAATTAACGAAACAAAAAACAGAAAAAAAATACATCTTACTGTGAGTGGGACTAACCCACTGGGCATTCATCTCCCTACCATCTGCTCTGCACAAGCCAACCACAAACCATCAAACTTACTGGCTATAGGTGTACCTGGGCATATTATCACCTGCCAACTTTCTTTATCGAGAATGCTCTATCCCACTACTTCCTGGGTTTTCTCTCCCAGTATGTGTTCTAAGAATAAAGAACATTTTTAGAGTGGTCTTATCCGACAGCTATTAAGAAGGTAAATTTGCTGCCTCCAAAATTCAAATGCCAAAAAGACTCTGATCCTGGCTTTTTTGTCCCTTTAGTTAGCAAGGGCTGGCTGTTGTCCTCAGTCTTTACCCTCTGTGTCTATAGATAGCACTAAATAGACAACAGTAATGTAAACCTTCACATAGAAGCAGTTCAATTAAGTTGATGGCTCTGGGGTAAAGGGTATGACTTGGAAAACAAGATAATTCCTTTTGTCGTATTTTCATCAAATTTCCATGCAGATGAGGGAATAACACAGAGGAGAAAAGAAACTAATATCTGAGTGTCTACTATATGCCTAGCACTTTCATATTCTCTCCTTTAATTCTCCAAATGTTGAGGTCAGTTTCATTTCCATCCTCCATACCAGGACACTTGGGTTTCATAAGTCAACTTGCCAAAATGCAAATGTTAAAATAGATAAAAATCAGGAAGGTGGGACTCCTGGGGCTCACTGTCTTTCCACTTAGATCAAATTGAATCCTGACTATTGCAGATCCAGCAATAGGTTCAAAGTCAAATGTAATATATTTAAAGATTTGGTTTTAATAGAATAGAATCCTAATTGAATAGCCATTTAAACCAAAGAGCCTTTGTTCAACATAAAAACTGTTATAAAGAATTTTACCTTGCCCTGGCAAGTTTGCTCAGCGGTTAGAGCATTGGTCCAAGGACCAAAGAGTCTCGGGTTCGATTCTGGTCAAGGGCACATATCTTGGTTGCAGTTTGGTCCCCGGCCCTGGTCAAGGCCGTGCAGGAGGCAACCAATCAACGTGTCTCTCTCATATTGATGTTTCTCTTTCTCTTTCTCTCTCTCTCTCTCTCTCTCCCTCCCTCCCTCCCCCCACCACTCTGTCTGAAGATAAATGAAAAGTATCCTTGAATGAGGTTTTAAAAAAAAAAGATTTTACCTTTTCCCAAGTTGTGTAACCCTCATTTTAAGACCTTTTTCAAAGACAAGAGAAAAAATTTTAGCTATTTTAAGATGAAGGTGAGTAAGCAACAAAGCCAGAGCTATTTTTGTGCTATTGAGATAATCACAGTGAACCCAGGTTCATGGGAGACACTGGAAATTAATGTTTCTCCAAAGTGTACAGGCTGGATGGCTCCCAACACAAACATCCCATAATACTCCTCTACCACTAGAGCACGGGGTGCCAGTTCAAGCCTCCTGCTATCACACTGGCTGCTCTCTGCAAGGATGAGATTCACTTTCTTTTCTCCTCCAACTTGCCTACCCGTCAAGGTTCATTGAAAAATTGCTACCCCTCCATAACATTTTCTCTGACGGAATCCATCAAATCCACACATAGGTAATTTCTAAGTTACCAATAAATAAGTCCTATCTGAATCCCCATATTTGACCCACAGATATTCTCTTTGTACTGTCCTCAAATTGTTTCACGTAAGTGGGGAACAAAGTTTCAGAATGAAAACTTAATCTCATTTAAGAAAAAACTTCCCCCAAATCCCCAGTTTGACTTATTAGAAGAGGCCCTTTCCCCAACCTCCTCTCAATTTTTTAATTCAATTAAAAGAAAAAAGAAAAAGAAAGAAAAAACCCTCCCCTGAGCACAGAGAGTACTGAGAGGATGCTTCATAAGTGAAGACCAAACGCAATTCTGAGGACCAGGAATCGCACCGTCTCAAATTCTCGATCCTGAATTTTTTTGAAAGCCTCCGCAATGACGTCATCTTCAAACCACTGATGGACAAGGCCGTCCCTCAATGTTTTAGCTGTCAGTCTACACAATGCTTCAGAAAGAGCAACCTGCTGGCCATAATCTACAAATTAAAAACATTGCAGACATGGGTAATTCTAGGCACAAAGCAAAAGAAGAAATGAGTTCCATAGATTAGCACTTGCACTAAGAAATTCCATCTTAGAAGCCTAGCACTGTGCGTTATAAGCAGTAAGGTGTATCCTGGAGTAATTATCATCATTTAAATTCAATATTTAAGAAACGTTAGAAAATTTAAGCAGGTCAGCATATAACAATGTTTAAATAAGTGATATCTCTGCATTTTATATTATATATTAAAACACCCATCAAAAGCAGCTCATCAAATACCTTTAAAAAGTACTTCTACTGCCCTAAATGATGTGGCTCAGTGGTCAGAGCATCAGCCCACAGACCAAAGGGTGGTGGGTTGAATTCTTGGTCAAGGGCATGTACCGTGGTTGCAGTTTGTCCCCGGCCCTGGCTGGGATCGTGTGGGTGGTGACCAGTTGATGTGTCTCTCTCACATTGATGTTTGTCTCTCTCACATCGATGTTTGTGTCTCTCTCACATCGATGTTTCTCTTTCTCTCTTCCCTCTCTCTCCCTCTCACTCTATCTGAAGATAAATGTAAAAATGTCCTCGGGTGAGGATTAAATACATACACAAATAAATAAATAATAAAGATCAATGGGAAAAAAATCCTTGGTGAGAATTTTAAAAAAAATACTTCTACAAAGATTAGATCTCAAGATTGATTGTGGTATTTCATATCAGATAAATAAAAACTACCTATATCAACATGTTTACATCAAATAATTTTAAGGATAAAACGAAAGTTGTAACTGCATACGTACAATAGGATGAGATTTATAAAATGCTTTTAAAATGTGCAAAACAACAATGTGTGCTGCTTTTGAATACACAGTGAAGAGGCAGAAAAACATACTTAGAAATGAAAAACAAATCCAACTCAAGGATTATCTCTACTAATGAAGAGGGGAGTGGGATCAGGGACACAGACACACATTTAGTTTTAAAAGATTTGAAACAAATGTGGTAAAATGATAAAATTTACTAGGCTGGTTGGTGAGTAAATGAGCATTCATTAATTACTCTTTATGGTTTTTAGCATGCTGAAATTTCTCATAATAAATGAAAAATAAAACCCTAATTCCTATTTTCAGTTTGGCCATAATTTATTCCCCATAGTTCCAAGATGCTCAGAAAATCCCCAATGTCCAATATTTAATGTTCTTATATTTAAAATTCTAAACATTTCTTACCACCCACAGTCGAGATTGTCCTTGCAAAATCTTTCCTGAAAAACATTTAGATAAACTGCATTTTACTGAAATGAACCTAAATAGGCATAACTTCACTACATTGGCATTAAAATTTAAAACCAAGATTTATAATTCTGAAATTATTTATTTTAAATTCGACATCAGCCTTTTCTAAATGTCAACAATAGATTTTTATGGGAAAATGTTCTCAAGTTTGTTTATTAATAACTTAAATGCACTTTTTTTTAAAGCTGCAGTTCTGTTTCTCCTTCTGTCAAGTGAATCAAATTTGATGATCTCTGCGGATTCATCAAATGCTAAGATTCTGGAATATTATAATCACCTCACCAACCTTGGGAGGATGCTGCCCTTTTCTTTTTTTCCACATAGTCTGACATTGGAAGAAATAGTAACAATAGATGCTGTGAGTCTTTCCAGGGAGCCTTTTGAACTTACTTTAAAAACTGATTATATTACAAGTGTAATGGGATTAAATGACTACATATTGTAACTAACACAGACTCCCATATTGTTCGCAGACTGCCCCCAATTTATAACGGCTTGACTTATGATTTTTCAACTTCACAATGGTGCAAAAATCATACACATAATAAATTCAACACTTTAGTATAAAACAGGCTTTGTGTTAGATGATTGTGCCCGACTTTAGACGACCATAAGTGTTCTAAGCACGTTTAAGACAGGATAGGCTGCCCTGGCCAGTTTGGCTCAGCAATTAGAGTGTCGGCCTGCGGTCCAGACAGACCTGGGTTCGGTTCCCGCTAAGAGCGTGTAACTCAGTTGCAGTTTGTCCCTGGCCCTGGTTGGTTGTACAGGTGGCAGCCACTCGATCTGTCCCTTTCACATCAATGTTTCTCTCTCTCTCTCTCTCTCTCTCTTCCTCTCTCTCCCTTCCACTTTCTCTGAACAAAAAACGGAAAAATGTCCTCGGGTGAGGATAACAAAAAAAAGGTAGGCTAAGCTCTGATGTTCAGTAGGTTAGGTTTATTCAATGCATTTTCAACTTACAATATTTTCAATTATTGGGACATAACCCCATCTCAAGTTGAAGAGCATCTGTATTTAATGATTTTAATTAAATGGTAAAAAGTGTGATGTAGATCTTTATTTTAATGTTTGAAATAACTCCCATTTTAAAGAACAGATCTGTTAAGAAATCTTGTAGTTCAGTTCCTCATAATAAATGATTGATTTGTTACCATTAAAGAGAAGTCTTAGCCCAGCCGGTATGGCTCAGTGTTTGAGTGTCGACCCATGCACCAAGAGGTTGTTGGTTCGATTCCCAGTACGGGCACATGCCCAGGTTGTGGGCCAAGTCCCCAGTGGGGCGCATGCAGGAGGCGGCCAATCAATGTTCTCTCTTATCTATGTTCCCTCTTTCTCTCCCTCTCCCTTCCTCTCTCTCTCAAATCAATAAAGAAAGAAATTAAGAAGAAAAAAAAGAGAAGTCTTAAACCAGCAGCACTGGGAGTCCTGCTTAATTTTATGCTTGCATTTTTTCCTTGAAGTCTAGAATGTGCCAGACTTTCTAGAACACACAATAAGCCCTGGCCAGTTTGGCTCAGCGGTTAGAGTGTCAGCCTGCGGTCCAGAGAGACCCGGGTCTCTCTCTCTCTTCCTCTCTCTCCCTTCCACTTTCTCTGAACAAAAAACGGAAAAAATGTCCTCGGGTGAGGATAACAAAAAAAGGTAGGCTAAGCTCTGATGTTCAGTAGGTTAGGTTTATTCAATGCATTTTCAACTTACAATATTTTCAATTATTGGGACATAACCCCATCTCAAGTTGAAGAGCATCTGTATTTAATGATTTTAATTAAATGGTAAAAAGTGTGATGTAGATCTTTATTTTAATGTTTGAAATAACTCCCATTTTAAAGAACAGATCTGTTAAGAAATCTTGCAGTTCAGTTCCTCATAATAAATGATTGATTTGTTACCATTAAAGAGAAGTCTTAGCCCAGCCGGTATGGCTCAGTGTTTGAGTGTCGACCCATGCACCAAGAGGTTGTTGGTTCGATTCCCAGTACGGGCACATGCCCAGGTTGTGGGCCAAGTCCCCAGTGGGGCGCATGCAGGAGGCGGCCAATCAATGTTCTCTCTTATCTATGTTCCCTCTTTCTCTCCCTCTCCCTTCCTCTCTCTCTCAAATCAATAAAGAAAGAAATTAAGAAGAAAAAAAAGAGAAGTCTTAAACCAGCAGCACTGGGAGTCCTGCTTAATTTTATGCTTGCATTTTTTCCTTGAAGTCTAGAATGTGCCAGACTTTCTAGAACACACAATAAGCCCTGGCCAGTTTGGCTCAGCGGTTAGAGTGTCAGCCTGCGGTCCAGAGAGACCCGGGTTCGATTCCCGCTAAGGGCATGTACTTCGGTTGCGGTTTGTCCCCGGCCTTGGTTGGGTCGTGTGGGTGGCAGCCACTCGATGTGTTCCTTTCACGTCGATGTTTCTCTCTCTCTCTCCCTCCCACTCTATCTGAACAAAATATCAAAAAATGTCCTCAGGTGAGGATAAAAAAAAAAAAAAAGAAATATAGAACACACAATAAGGTAGGACTGTAGGATCAGAATGAAAACTTAGGAGAAAACTCCAGTCAGCTACCCTCCAAGTCTAAATATACCACTAAGAGTAATGATTTCACTAATGTATTCAATAATTATTTTTCAGGAAAATTCCGTGGGAAACTGCATCCGCCAAAGATGAGTGAAATGGAAAAACGCGGCAGCAGTGAGTTCCACACTCCCCGGTCACCTTTCAGTCCGCACTGCGGTAAAGCTGGTCACCTTCCTCGTGCAGTCAGGATGGCATGTCACATGAAGGACTGCATGCCACACTGACGTCACCAACGCCAGTCAGAGGTTTGCTCACAGTCACAGGTTCAGGTTCAATTTCAAAGCAGGGAGCTGGTTTTGCTCTTTCCATGGCCATACTAGAACCTTCCTTATAAGTTTCAATATCCCCAAACCACATAACCGGGACTGAGGGACCAAAACACAAACAACCCATCACTTGAAAAGCAATAAAATTCCATGCCTTACTGGTATAGCTCAGTGATTTTCAACCTCTGTCATCTCATGGCACACATAAACTACCAAAATTCTGCGGCACACCAGAAAATATACTATATTCTTTGCCAGTCTGACAAAAAAAATAGGCATAATTTATTTATAGAAACATCAATGTGAGAGAGAAGCATCAATCAGCTGTCTCCTGCACAACCCCCACTGGGGACTGAGGCCGCAACCCAGGCATGTGCCCTGACCAGGAATCAAACTGGGACCTCTCAGTCCATGGGACGACGCTCAACCATTGAGCACACCGGCCAGACTAATTCTGATTCATTCACACCGAAAGGCTATTGTTGTGGTCACTGTTGTCATTTTTTGTTTGATAATCTAAAGTAAAAGGTCAGTGCCCCTGACTAAATAGCCAAGTATTGCACATCTTAAAAATTCTTGCAGCATACCGGCTGAAAAATCACTGGTATAAGTTAATACTTGGTAACCTTTGGATGTGTGCTCTCTACCAGGTAATGTGCCAATCACTTTCAGTGGATTGCCTGATTCCACTAATACCTGATCGGTGTATATCGATCAGGTATTAATGCTGGCTCCATTATACAGGCAAGCCAACTGAGGTACAGTGAAGTTAAGACTGCTCTAGATAATGCCATGAGCGTAAATGGCAAAATGAGGGTTTGAAGCCAAGCAGTTTACCAGCAGTATCTGTACTCAACATTTTCCCATGGGTAATTTAATTCACGTTCACAGTGAAAAAATAATCTATAGCTCCAGAAAGCATTTTACCTCACAAACTTTATGGGGAAAATAAATAAAAAACCTATACTACTAAAAAAGAAGAGCTTAGCAAAGTCTCGCTTTTTTCTTCAGTCCTTCTTCCCTGCTTAGCATAGTGCCCGACCCATTCCAGGTGCAAAGCATTTCCGGAAGAAAGGGAGGGAGGGAGGGAGGATCGAGACGGAGAACAAAGACTGAGGTACTAGCTCTGGCTGGTGTGCGCAGTGGTTAGCGCACTGGCCCTCGAATGGAAGGGTGGAGGGTTCAATCCTCTGTCAAGGGCACATACTGGGGTCCCCAGCCGACCCCATCAGGGGTGCATGCAGGACACAACTAGTCAAGGTGTGTCTCTCACATCCATGTTTCTCTCTCTCTTCCCCTCCCTCCCTCCCTTACACTCTCTCTAAAAATCAGTTAAAAAATATCCTTGGGTGAGGATTAACAACAACAACAAAAAGACTGAGGTAGTACAATCAGAGAGATTTTGCCTTACATCATCACATAGTTGAATGCAAGGTCACTTACAGAAGATGACACGGGCCTTCTGACAAGAGGAGTTGTTTCTTCTCTTCCCAAGGCACAGCGTGCAAAATGCTGTTCAGCGTCTTCAGAGCCTGCTCGGAGGTGGAGAGAGGCATCCATGTCCCCAGTGCACAACCTTCTCCCAGGTGTCTACAGCCACTGCTACCCCTTCTACTTGCGACTCACCTCTTGTTGAATAAAATGATTTACCGTCTTTTCTGTCACCAGAAATCCTAAGGTAAACATGAAGGAACCCAACATCTGAATTCTCCCTGAAAGAATAATTTTAAAACAATCAAACGAAGGCTACAAGGAGTAAGGAAATGCATCCCACACAGCAGGAAGGGCGAAGACGGAAAAGGTCACGGAGCCGTCAGCATCTCAGAAATTACATAGGCTGGGCAACCAGAGACAAATGACAGCCGCTCCAAGGTCTGGAAACCACCAGGCCACAACGACGCTTGCACTGCACAGATACCCACCGAGGAAACTAGGGGCAGCACATGTGAAGTGTGACTTCCGTGGCGATGACACAGAAAGCTAAGCTACTCCTGTCTGGACTGAGCCGCGTGCCACGGGCAGCTCCTGGAGTGTCCTGTTGTTTCTGTGTGCTTCTTACATTTACATATTTTATAAAAATTAAAACTGTATAAGGTCTTATGCTAATAGAAGTAGGAATCTTTTCAATAAAGTGTTGGCCTTTATTAAACAGCATTATCACAGAAACTTCAACTGCTATTTGTATGTCGGTATGTAGTTTTAAAAAGGGTATATGGCAAAACTTTATGCTTATTAAATAAACTCTTATTTTGATTTTATCTAAGCATATTATGTTAAAATATAAAATTATAGCAGTAGTGTACACCGCAAAAACTTATGGTTAAAGACCATACTATTATTCTAATAGGTTCAGATGTGCAATTTTGATATATTAATTATTCATCTCATATCATATAGTTTAAATTTCCATGTAACTCATGACATTGTAGGAACCCACACCAAAAAGGAGAAATTTAAAAGATCCCTCTTCAGTCTCAAAACAACCAGATTAATGCTTCTAGATAATCTTGGGGAACCAGATATTTCACTAGGGACTGTGGCAACAACTTGCCTGTCAGCTTGAAACTTGAGAGGAAGATTCTAACAGCCCAGGTGGACACCAGGACACCCTAAAGAGGCTGATGCACCCTATTTGGCTGTCATTAGAGCTTCTCATTTAAAGAGTAATAAAGAAAACTAGCAAATACTGCCCACTGAAAGAGGAAGAGGGGCACAGTAAATCCAGAGGCAGCAAAAAAGTGACTTTTGAAAATATGCTTACTGCAGGAAAGAAATTTTTTGAAGCATCTGATTTGAAGCATCTCAAACCTCAATTCTATGAAATAAAAAAATAGATCTGCAAGAAAAAGCAACCATCTAAGATGAAGACAGAAAATTCAGAAGTAAAAGAAACACTGAAGCCATTCTAGATATTTCAATCTGAGGAAATGAATTACACAGATGATTAAAAAAAAAAAAAAGCTGTGAAGCCAAATTGGAAACAGTGAGGTGGCCCAGAAATTAAGATCATTAACATAACTACCAGGCTCCTCCCAGAGTGCCACCCATCCCCCAATGTCACTTGGGGGAAGTAAGAGGTATTACCAGCTCCCAGGAATCAAGGTTACTAGCAATAGCTAGAGCACCAATGGGCCAGAGCCACAGACACTATGCAGTCACTCCCGGAGATGGCACCTCTGCAGAAAGGAGGGGGACAAATGCTTTCTTTGCTCCTTCCTTCTTTCAATTTTCTTCCATTGGCTAAACCCAGCAGGTAGCCAGTTATTAAGAAAACCCAAACCCTGTGATACAAAGTAGAGTGAGAGAGTGGGCAGCGGATATAAAGCAGAAGCAGATCACCACCATCCACAGTTTTCAAGGGAGCAAAGATGTGGTAGCAGAGTTCAAGTCTGTACAGGAAACAAGAACAGCAGAATTAGTCAAGTGCTGGCTTCCAAGAAAAACTTAGGAACTGTTCTCAAAACGACAGGAAAATGACAGAAAAACAATGCATATGACGACAAAAACGAAGCAATGAATGAATGATAATTTTACAAAGAAAGCATAATGGGAGTAAGTGTAATGGACATTTTGGTGCCTTCCCATCATCCTTTCCCCTTCCTCTGTTATGTGGCAGTCTTTCTACAGGATGGAACAGACTTGCTTTAGGGGTGGATCCTGATTGGCTTAAGCTATGCTGGGACATCCCATTCATCTTTTCATAGAGATTGGTTTTAAAGGGGAATGAGGAGAGAGCATCCAATTAGAACAAAACTGGGGCTTTCTTCTGATGGTTAGGGAGAGAGTTTCTTTCCCTGGCAGTGAACCAGGAAGCGCAAAGCTCTGGTTAGTGGCCACCATCTAACGACCATCAAGGGAGACCAACTTGAGAGCAAACACAAGACTGTGCAGAAGGCAGGACTGAGAGAATTGCAGCAAAAGGACCACAGCCACAACCAAACTGCTCCTGAAACTCAGTCTCTGGACTTTTTAGCTCCTGTGCCTATAAATTATGTGTGTCATTCAAGCATAATCGAACTAGATATTGTTACATATAGCAAAAACACTTTAACTCTGCTGTTTTCAACTAGAGGTGATTTTTGCCCCCACCTCCATCCAGGGGGCACTCAGCAGTTTCTGGAGATTTTTTTTTTTAACTTGTTACAACTGGGGAAGTGGGAGGGGCTGCTATTGGCATCTAGTGGGTAAAGGCCAGGGAGGCTGCTAAACATCCGAAATGAATAGGACAGCAAGCAGCCCAAAACAAAGAATAATCTGGTCCCAAATGTCAATAGTGTCAGCATTGAGAAACCCTGCTCTAATTGATGAAGTCATCAAAGAATAAAATGTCCCAAGCTAAATATGATTTGATTCAACATAACTCATCAAGAACCACTTAAAACAAATGTGCCCTGTGCGCAATGCTCTCAACACTTACTATTAGAGACAATGAAGCAGTTTTGAGGGTGAGAACCTGCAAAGCAAGAGTTATAGGGTATAAAAGACACAGACATTCTTTTTTTTTTTTTATCCTCACCCGAGGACATTTTTCCATTTTTTGTTCAGCTAGAGTGGGAAGGAGAGAGAGGAAGAGAGAGAGAGAGAAACATCAATGTGAAGGGACACATCGAGTGGCTGCCACCCACACGACCAACCAGGGCCGGGGACAAACTGCAACCGAGGTACGTGCCCTTAGCGGGAACCGAACCTGGGTCTCTCTGTACCGCAGGGCGACGCTCCAACCGCTGAGCCAAACTGGCCAGGGTGACACAGACATTCTTAAACGATAAAAAGCTCTATCTCCAACCCACACCCCCCCCAATAACACTCTTCCAAATATATTATAACAGATGGAGATAAAGCAGAATAAAGAACTGAAGACTGAGGACATCATGGTATACACAGGTTGGTAATGATCCCTAAATAATTACTATAAACAGGACTGCAACACAAGGCAAAGAGCAAATACTGTTTACAAAGAGATATACATAATCCAAGCCTAAAACCCCAAAGAGCAAATTCTGTTTACAAAGATATATAATAATCCAAGCCTAAAACCCCAGATTAAATTAAATAAATGTGGGTAAAAGATGGAGGGGGAATCAAAAAATTAATTCCTTGCTATACAGTATAAAGAAAAAATAAGGTGCTATAATTTTGATGTGGATAATTAAATTAAGAGTAACTACCAGTACAATAAACCTCGAACATAAGCCATTCAAATCATGAGAGAAGCAAATTGTGGAAGAAAATATAATCCATATAGTAAAGCACAAAACAAAAGGAATCATAAAATGGAACACATCCAATAAGATGACATAAATCTTGGAACAAAAAGGAAGGAGTAACTCTATCAATGGCAGGAGGAGGTGGAAATGTCAGTGAAAACATCTTTGTATTTCAAAGACAGACTGGCTATCGACTCTGTGGAGCCTGAACATAACAATGCCCATGCAAAATGACTGTCAGAGGCCATGTGCGAAAATCTGACACTTGCAGAGAGGTCAGCCACCCTAAGGTGGCCAGAATGGGCTCCAAGCACCAACTGTCATTGCTATAGATTTACATATTTCCCCCCAAAATGAATAGGTTGAAGCCCTAACCTCAATATGATGATATTTGAAATGGGCTCCTTTGAAAAGGTAAATAAGGTTAGATTTGGCCATAAGGGTGTGGTCCTCATGATGAGATGAATGCCTTTATAAGAAGAGACTCCAGAGAGCTGGCTTGCTCTCTGCCATGTGAGGACACAGCAAGAAGTTGGCCATCTGTTGGTCAGGAAGAGAGTTCTCACTAGAACCCAACATGCTGGCACCATGATCTCAGACTTCCAGCCTCCAAAACTATGAGAAATACATTTTTGTTTAAGCCACCGAGCCTGTGGCATTTATTTAGCGATGGCAGCGGGCTGGCTAAGGCAGTCATCTGGAGCAGTGTTTCCTCCACTAGAGGCAACAGAACTACTGTAAAGACAGGAATCTGTAAGTGGACCAAGCAACAAGTGTACTGAACAGATCTCTATGAATTGTTTTCAAATATGTAATGATATACTCGGCTATAATAAAAGACAACTTGATTTTTAAATGTTACAAATTCAAAGTAATTTTTACCATTGTGTATTTTATTAATCAAGTTTAGAGAAAATAACTGTCACTTATTAAGTTCATAAAAAACTGACTTGCAAGTATTTGGATCCACTGACTTAGAATAGGGAGCCTTTTTTTTTTTAAATCAACTAAACACCATGTATACCTAAGCTTCTGGCAGTGAATTTCCTCCGTTATGAGATACCATCCACTGTAGAAAGTAGTATCAATTTATCTGTTTTTTTTTGGTATGTGCCCTTAGCAGGAACCAAACCTGGGACTCTCTGGTCCGCAGGCCGATGCTCCAACCGCTGAGCCAAACCGGCCACGGCGAAAGTAGCATCAATTTAATAACAGCTTTCCAAAAGAAAAATAAGAAGCTAGACAACAGGAAGAGGACATATCCATTTTAAGATGTCCTCAATTTTTTAAATGTTCAAATATTTTAAATGTGTCTTTAAATCCATTTGTATCCTATTTCAGGATGTCAAATTACCTTTAACTTGAGTAAATGGAATAACATCAATCTAACTTCAAAATATTCTAAAAATTTCCCTTTGACATTCTTGAAAGACAGAGAAAGGCATCTGAATCAGCTCCAAGTTAAATCACTAAGAGCTCAACTTTGCTGGTCTGCAATGACAGAGTGGCTCTCCACACCTGAACGGAGCAAGGCCACCAACAGTGACAGCAGCGCTAAACTGAGATGGACCTCAGGCAAACTGAGACACACTTGACAACAAAATCCACTTCAACATCACAATACGACTACCAATGGATCGTCAATAAACCTAAATAGAACAATTAAACCCACTTTACTTTTCATATCATTTAGACATATATATTCTCTACCAGCATATTCTATTAATGAAAAATAAATAGCCAATTAGTGGTAAATAATATACTTACCTTTACTACTCCTCCTGGAAATAATCTAATAGAAATAAAGAAAAAATAAAGCTTGTATTATTTTTAAAAAGCTTTATAAACTATAATGTTAATACATTAATGCTGACATTTCTCTAACAGGCTGGAGTTGACTTTAAATACAGTAGAAAAACATTTAGAGAAGTCCTATTTGACCTTCAATCATATTATTAAAATCAGCATGTCCCTCTCAATCAGGTGAATCATATATTGGTATGCATGAAAATAAAACACCTCATCTTTCTATAACATTGATTCTCTATATTAATGTTTGTTTCTATTTCACATAACATTCTAATAATAAAATATGGGAGTCTTTTAGTAAAAAATCCCACATCTTTGAAAAATACAAGTTTTACAAATAACAAAGATTCCTGCAAATTATCAATGGTATCTAGATGTTCGGCAAAGCATCCACCCCCGTCCTTACCAGTGCTGTGTCAAAGAAGTCTTCTGTAACATCAATCAAGGATGTGTCCGAAGCTAGATCTTCCACAGTCAGAAATCCTACTGTTCTTTCAAACCAGGTAGACATGTACACGAGAGAAGAAACAAAGATGGAACCCCCATGACTACATAACTATTCGATAAAATTTCACAAGATAATTCTTTCACTGAAGGACTTAATTTTAAAATTTAAATTCCATCACAGCTCAGTTAGTCCTGGCTCTGAGGCCCCCCCATCTACAGCACTCAAGGATGTAATCAAATTGCTACGGAGTTGCAGTAAGTACTTCTCAGATACCAGCAAGGGTTAGACTTGGCCACGGGCAATTTCAGAAAGTCACAGAAGGGGCTAGTGAGGAAGGGTGAAGAAATAAATAAGCCTCCCAACACAAGAGAGAGCCCCCAAAAAACAGAAGTTCCTGTCCTCTGGGAAGCTGCAGAAGACAAGCTACCCAAGGAGCTGCAGAATTTGGAACGGCTCCAGAAATATGCATGGTACAGTAAATATGCCTACGTCTGCTTACCTTTCTTCTGTCAAAAGTTTCCAGCTACTTGGATATTTTTATTTTCTACAGGCACATATATCTAAGATTATATTAAGTTGCTAGGATTAGTATGATTTAAAGTGAACTTCTATAAACCCTCCTACAACATATTTAGTCAATAAAGCAAAGGCCATCTTTGGACCAGCTTTGCTGAGACTGGTCACTCTTACAAAAAAGAAAAAGGAAAAATCCTGATATAGTTAGAAATTATCAGTTGAACACAAAGTGGGTAACATGAGTTCATGATGAACAACTCTTAGGGAGCAAGGCTTTGGAAACTGTCCAGTTTGGAGCCAAGAACACAAGGCTCCCCAGCCGAAGACCATGAACAATTAATCAGCTCTCACCACCGCCTGCATAGCAGGAGAACCGCGGGAGCTCTGAAGCACCCTTCTGCCTGGGACCCATCGCAGGCTCAGTGAATCTGAATCGGGTGCTGGGACCCAGGCTCTTCATGTGTGAAAGCTCTTCGGGCATTTCTAATGCACAGCAGGCTGAGAGCACTGCTATGTTCCAAGTCATGTTTCTTTTGTCTCCAATCAGACAACTATTGGCACTAGATTCGGTCATCCACCTCCTGAAGCAAATTGTTCTCTGACAGAGGAAACCAATGTGTCTCTACACAGTGGAACTCACTGCTCAGGTGATAGTTTCTCCCTCCCTATATTCATACTCAAAATTCTATGCTTTTAAGTACATTTTTGTCACCATTCCGTTAATTTCCCCAAATCCTAATTCCACTCCCAGACCATCAAAATACATTGGTTGAGTAAAGATACAAAGAAGTAGGGGAAATGCCACATTATCTGATCAAGACTTAGGGCCAGGGAGTCACTCCTGAACCCATTTATGTGCCATGATCATACGTGGATGGTCTAACAGATAACACCAACTGCCCCCCAGCTGTGGCATTACTGGAAGTCCAGACCACATAGTATGTACAGATGCAATAGCTACTACTCATTATGTATATGGTATAGGACGAGCTGCTTAACCCTCCTTCCTGGATCTTAGGGTATAGGACTAAATATATTCCTTCCTGTAGGAAGTTCTTATGTTGTGGAGAGTAACATCTCAGCACATTTTGGGTTGACCTGCACACACAACTAATATCCCATCCACTTTGACTACCAATCTATTCTTCTTGGCCAAAACTCACATGAGCAACAGCACATTTTTTAAAAGTATCCAAATTATGGTTATGAAATTTCCATCACCAGTCAGAATTCCAATGAAACAAGGAAATTTCTACTTGATAGCAAAACACCAGTGGAGATTTGTTCTGATACCTTAAACCTTTGGAAAGGTATTCTTAAATCAAAATAGGAAATTCAGGTTGGGGCAGATGATAACTCATCTCCCTAATAACCAGCTTCAGGTTCCAAGATACTCCAGGGATATGCTGCTCCATTTCCTTTGAAGTTGTACCTTCTCTTCCCTACTTCCTGTTATCTGCATGAGTGTGTGTCAGGGAGGTAGGTAAAGCTAAATGCAAAATGAAATACACACAGTTTGTAAAAGCACAATCTTTAGTTCCCCCACCACCCTCAGATGACTGCCTGGTGTTTACTCTTTCTCCCGTGGAGGGGCAGCCACGCAGAGGCATTTTTGAGTTTAAAAAGGGGGGGGGGGCAAAGACAGATCATGTTGACCCAACAAGACCTTAAAAAATTTCAGACAGTGAAGACTTCCGGTCAAGATGGTGGGTAGGTAAACGCGGTATCGCGTCCTCCCACAACCACATCAAAGTTACAACTAAACTACAGCACAACCATCATTCAAAACCACCTGAAATCAAGCTGAATGGAAGTCCTACAACTACGGAATTAAAGCAGCAGCCACATCCAGACTGGTAGGAGGGGCAGAGGCGGACCGGCTGGTCCCACACCCACGTGTGGCGGATAAAAATCAGGAGGACACCTCGGCTGGGAAGGTCCTTCCTGAGGACTGAGGGGTCCCCGTCCCACACCAGGTGCCCTGCTCAGCGTTCCAGTGCCAGGAAGAGAAGTCCCCATTACTTCTGGCTGGAAAAACCAGCGGGAACTGAGGCTCAGGGAAGCTGAAGTGGCTGGAGCCCCAGGCAGCTCCTTAAAGGGCCGGCGCACGGACTTATCGGACTCTCTCCCTCTAAGCTTGGAGGGGAGGCAGCTCGAGGGGCGCCAGAGACACACAGGGAAGAACTGATCTGTTTGGCACTGGACCGAGGGCTTTCTCCTGGACAAACTGCTGTCTGAGGCCTTTGTTCCTTTGGTGAGCCCTTCCCTGGGGCGGCAGACAGTCGCCATATCTGGGACTCCAGCAACCTGGCTCCCACTGGTAGCCCCGCCCTGGTGACTCCCTGAGGCCCCACTCCACCCCACCCCACCCCACTTTCAGACCCACCCAAGCTGTTGCCAGTTGCTTAACCATAGGATTGGCCTGTCTTGGATCCTGCTTCAGTTTTTCCTAAATTCTTTCAAATGAGCAGCATCTGGTCTCAGCTAGCCCCATACCGCTTGTTAAGTAATACACAGAAACAAACAAAGGGGAGGCAGCCAAAATGAGGAGACAAAGAAACAGGTCCCAAATGAAAAAACAGAACTAAACCCCAGGAAAAGAACTAAGTGAAATGGAGATAAGCAACCTAACAGATGCTGAGTTCAAAATACTGCTTATAAGGATGCTCAATGAACTTAGTGAGAACCTCAGTGAATTTAGTGAGGGCCTCAAGAGCATAAAAAAGGACCAGTCAGAAATGAAGGATGCACAGTCAGAAATGAAGGAGGCACTAACTGAAATAAAGAATAATTTACACAGATTCAATAGTAGAGTAGGTAAAGCCAAGAAGCAAACAATTGATTTGGAATATAAGGAAGCAAAAAACACCAATCAGGAGAGAAAAAAGAATCCAAAAAAATGAGGAGAGTGTAAGGAGCCTCTGGGACAACTTCAAGCATGCCAACATTTGCATCTTGGGGGTGCCAGAAGGAGAAGAGAGAGAACAAGAAATCAAAAACCTATTTGAAACAATAATGGCAGAAAACTTCTCTAACTTGGTGAAGGAAACAGACATACAAATCCAGGAAGCACAGAGTCCCAAACAAGACGATTCCCAAGAGGCCCACACCAAGACACATCATCATCAAAATGCAAAAGGTTCAAGACAAAGAGAGAATCTTAAAAGCAGCGAGAGAAAAGCAGCTAGTTACCTACAAGGGAGTTCCCATAAGACTGTCAGCTGATTTCTCAAAAGAAACTTTGCAGGCCAGAAGGGAGTGGCAAGAAATATTCAGAGTGATAAAAAGCAAAAACCTGCAACCAAGATTACTCTATCCTGCAAAGCTGTCATTTAGAATCGATGGCCATATAAAGAGTTTCCCAGACAAGGAAAAGCTAAAGGAGTTCATCACCACCAAACGATTATTATATGAAATGTTGAAGGGTCTTCTTGAAGAAAAAGATAAAAAATATGAACAAAGTGGCAATGATTACATATCTATCAACAACTGAATCCACAAACAAAATGACAAGAAGAACAGAAACATTCTCATAGATATAGAGAAATTTTGTTGGTTGCCAGATGGGATGGGGTTTGGGGAAATGGGTGAAAAAGGTGAAGAGATTAATAAGTACAAATTGTTTGCTAGACTGACAAACCTCAAAGGGAAGGGGGCTTGGGAGGATGGGAAGAAATAAACCAAAGAACTTATATGCATATATGCATAACCAATGGACACAGAGAACAGTGTAGGAAAAGGCAGGAGGGTGGCGGGAGGAGGGGGGTCAATGGGGGAAAAATGAGGAACATCTGTAATACATTCAACAATAAAGATTAAAAAAAAAAAATTCAGAAGTAGAGTCCAGGGGGTAAAACAAACATGTTATTACCAGCCAGATAACCCTTCTGTCCCTCCACCTCCCCAGTCTCCTCACCAAAAAATAAAGCATCTCAGCGCTGCAAAATCTCATCATGAAAAGGGAACTGCAGCAAGAGATGTTCAAACTCTGCTTTGTTTCCAGATGCCATTATAAAGGCACCCATGTTACCTGCTAGTTACTTAAAAAACAGAATAGAATTTCATAATTGGGATGACTCAGAATAAGCAAAAAAGTGTTTTTGCCATTTGTTTTTTTCTGCTTTAATTGGAATTTTAAAGTTGGAAAAGTGTACTGTGGCAAGGGGAAGTATTTGATAACTTATCTAGGTCCAAACATGTTACTAACATCTATTAAAATATTTATAGAGCCTTTGGAGGGAGGAGAAGTATGGAATAGTCTACTCCCTATTCATTCTATATTCTTTTTTTTTTTTTAAATCCTCAACTGAGGACATTTTTCCATTTATCTTCAGATAGAGTGGGAAGAAGAGAAGAGGAAGAGAGAGAGAGAAACATTGATGTGAGAGAGACACATTGAGTGACTGCCAGCCACACAACCTCAACCAGGGCTGGGGACAAACTGCAACCGCGGTACGTGCCCTTAACAGGAACCCGGGACTCTGGTCCACAAGCTGACGCTTCAACCACTGAGCCAAACTGGCCAGGGTTCATCCTATATTCTTAAGTCTAATTCACTAAAATAATAAAAATATGTGATTACTGCATTAGCTTGTCAAGAGGAGAACGGGGTGGTGTCTGACTTCCTTGCTGTGAGCTGCCAAAGTGCCCTGTCCAGCACACAGATCAGGAAACATACGTTGAACTCAGTCTTTAATTGGATATAGGCAAAAAACACTGTTACCAATCTCTTTTAAAAACTGATTTTAAAGAAACAGAAAATACCAAACTAATGAGATAACTGAATCCACTCTAGTTCAATAAGTCACCCAAAGCCATACAAAATTAAAACAGGACACTTATCTTTGGGATCAGTCCCTGCTGAATTAGCAAAGGCTCATCTTCTGTGAGGCCATCAATGAAGAACCGCTGAATACATTTCAGCAACAGTAAAACACACCGAAATTCTTTTTTATCCAGTTCCTAGTATGAGACCACAAGTTAAACGTCTTACAATGAATGTTAAGAGAGTAGATCCTAAGTGTTCTCATCACAAGAAAATAAATACGTTAACATTTTCTTTTATCTTATATAAGATGACAGATGTTAATTAAACTTATTGTGGCAATAATTTCACATCCATTTGTAAGTCAAATCACTATGCTACACGCCTTAAACTTATACAGTGCTATATGTCAATTACATCTCAATAAAACTGGGGGGAAAGCCTTACAAAGTATAATTATATATTAATATTCTGGACAGATAACAAAACAACTTACTTGCCTTATTTATTGATTTGTCAAGATGGTATAATACAAGATGATTATATTTTTGAGGAATGTGGCTCCCTCTCTGTCGAAAATATTCTTTTATTTTCTGAAATCCTTTACCATGGAATGCGTCAATAATGAGTGATTGAAGCTGGAAGGTTGATAGTTTGCAAATTACTTTTTTCCCCCCAAGAACTTTAGTTTCATAGTAACATTTCGAACTATTATTATCAACAATAACTCAGTGTGGAAATAGTAGAGGGTAAATATGAAACACAGAGTTATATCTTGAACAGTAAATAGTCATGTAGCCAATGAGCAAGTTTGTTGTCTTAAGACAACAGTACAGGTATATCCTGGAGATATTGCAGGTTCAGTTACAGACCACCCAATAAAGCAAGTATCACAATAGAGCCAGTCATAATCGTTTTGCTAGTGGAGGGTCTTGTCTTCAGTTTGTAAAAAATGCACACCATGCCCGACTGGTGTGGCTCCGTGGTTGAGCACTGACCCATGCACCAAGAGGTAGCCGCCTTGATTCCCGGTCAGGGCACATGCCCAGGTTGTGGGCCCGATCCCCAGTGGGGGACATGCAGGAGGCGGCCAATCGATGTTCTCTCATCGATGTTTCTGTCTCTGTCTCCCTTTCCCTTCGTCTCTTTCTAAAATCAATAAAGAAAAAAATTTTTTTTTAAATGCAACACCTGGCCCTGGCCAGTTTGGCTCAGCGGTTAGAGCGTCGGCCTGAGGTCCAGAGAGATCCAGGTTCGGTTCCCGCGGTTGCAGTTTGTCCCTGGCCCTGGTTGGGTCATACAGGAGGCAGCCATTTGATGTGTCCCTTTCATGTCAATGTTTCTCTCTCTCTCTCTCTCTCTCCTCCCACTCTTTCTGAACAAAAAAATGGGAAAATGTCCTCCAGTGAGGATTTAAAAAAAAAAAGTAACACCTGTTTAGTGCACTAAAGCAGAACACAATAAAGTATGCCTGCAGTTTTCAAAATGTGGTTCCTGGACCACCAGCAGCATGGGCATCACCTGAGACTTGTTAGGAATCAGAAACACTGAGGGTGGTGTTCAGGTGATTGTCATGATCCTAAAGTGTGAGAACCACTGACTTAAGGGAAACTGCACTTGAGTTACAGCTATCTGAGAATAAAAAGCCTTTATCCTCAATGATATTAGAAATTCTAAAACACTAAAAAATGCAAGCTTATTGTCATTCATTAAGTGACATGAATGATCATAAAAGGAATGACTGTACACTAATAACTACAGATCATGAAAGCAGATAAATATGCAAATTGCCATGATGAAACTGATCTTTTCTGCCTGAACGTTAATCAAGACATAGTTCTAAGTATATACCTAAACAATACATAACAGAGATATGACTCTTTATTTTTAAAACCCAGCCCAATCCTACAGGCTAAATTACAATATATAATGTAATTTTAATAAGGAGATATTTTCCTATGCAGCCCCAAATTCCACTTATACTTAGTACTGATTTAAATGGGGAGACAGCAGTTGAAAATTAAATATTTAAACATTATTTTCTTTATTAAGTTACCACATAGTGAACTTTTCTAAGCCAAGTGTGTTAAAAGTTCTGCAGATGTTCTCATTTAGTCCCTGAGAGCTTTGTCTTTATCTGGGGATAATAATAGCAAGGCTGGGGGAAGTTAAGAACGTGTCCCAGCTGCAATCCAGTCAGGTTCTCTGACCCAGAACCTCAGTTCTGCCTGGTTAACACTCTGCCTGGCTCCTCTGCACTGGCAATAAATCAAACCCTTTGCCTTCGTCTGCAGGGCTCTGCATGATTTGTTGTCCATCAACTTCCTCTGCTTCCCTGGTAAATGACTCCTTGCATAAATCAAACTCTTCCTTGCTTCAGGTCCTCTGCACTGACTATTGGAGGCCTAGACTGCTCCTCCCCATCACCGTCTACCTTCCACCCTCCTGGTGCCTTGTCACCCCTCAAATCTCAGCTTCAGTATAACATTTTCTAAAGTAAGCCTTATCTAAAGTTCCTCCCTCCACCCTCAATTATTCTCTATCACAATACCCTGTTCCTTTTCTTCTTACTCTCCTTTGGTTGGTAACCTGTTTCTTTGGCTCTCTGCCAGGCTGTAAGCTCCATGAGGACACAAACTTTGTTTTGTTCAGTACTGTCTACCTACATCTAGAATACCTGGCACAAGATGGCTTAGACTTATTACAAGACACAACGATAACAGGATGTCGGAGATTAGAGAAGGAGAAGCAGCAAAGATGATTTCTGTTTCCGGTGTGAGCAACTAGAGGAACAACTATGCTGAAAGTCCAGGGAATAGAGAACTAGGAAGAGTACACACACACACACACACACACACACAACATAAAATTAACTCGATCTTTACATAGAAGGCATCCTGGGCCATTCCACTCCCACCATCTTCTGAAACAGTCTGCAAAGGACCTTCCTTGTCCTGTGTACAATAAAAATGTTTTTAAATATTTTTTTATTTATAACAAATAAATGCAGTTCAAGTTTTAAAAATAAAACAAAATAAAGGTTCCTGTTATTTTCTTGAACAAAATATTTTTTTGTCTGCTCATGCCCCTGATTTTAAGTCTAAGTAAGATACTACGTTAAACAAAAAAACTCTCCGACCTCTTTGGTGCTATCTGTGAGAAATACAACTATCAACAAGAAGCAAAGCAAACACCACTGTAATGAACAATCACATAAAATGGGTAAATTTAACCTCTACAGCGACTAGTATTAAATCGAAGGCTTTCAAGAGTTTGTAAAATAAGGGTTTTAAAAGATGCATTTCAAGTCCAGTGATGAGTTTCAACTTCATGTTTCTGACTTACATGAATTTTAAATGGAATCTAGGACTTATACTGAAACTTCAAGGATTAAATAACAAAACCACCACACGAAATTACAAAACAGCAGTGGATTGTTAAACATTTTCTTCAAAAAGTGATCCCTGGTTTTCACAACACACTATACTACCATAAATAGCATCTCATCTGCTCACTTCTTCCCAACAATTAACTTAATTAACTAAATTTAAAAGTATAATACAAAAGAAATTTAAAAAATATCTTCTAAAGTTTTTTTTTTAATCTAGCTTGGACTAACAGTCCTACCTCTCTGTGTACTTGCCCCAAATCCTTAAATGCCAGCATATTTTACAATATTATCGTCATTACTTACAAATATGAAAAATAGGGTGAAGTAAAAAACCCAAACCCCAATTTTTTTTTCACCAGCCGTGTATTCAGTTAAATAAATGCTGAAAAGTAGGACCGCTGGCAGTGCCAATCCACACCCCACCAGGGGTTGCGTTTTAAGGATTATCATTTCCCGGGGGGCTGGCTGAAGTCCCAGCACTTGGAACCACACATCTGGGACCCCGGTAATGTAACCGCGCTATGTGCGCAGCAAGGGGGGTGGGGGGACTAGCTGGACAAACAACTTGAAAAGGAGTATCTTATTGCCTTCCAAGCATTAATTCTCCAGTTTCTCTTTCCCCCAGTGCTCTATCAGCAAGGGACCAGAGATTTCCATCTTGCCTAGTCTCACTGAAAGTTGCCAATAAACTCCAAGCAAATCTAAAGGGATGGAAGCGCACAGTGCCCCGCCCCAGGCTTCTCCGGCGGCTGGGAGACGGCAGCCCGCGCCGGGTCTCTGGGTGCGCGCGCGAGGCTCTGCGCCCAGAGCCGGATGGACTGCGCGCCCTCCCGCCCCCCTAGAGCACGGAGGGGAGGCCGGGGCTAACAGGGTGCCCGGGTCCTCCCAGAGTCACTCACCGCCTGCATCCTCAGCCTGCTGGCCCGCACGCGCTCAAGTTCACGCGACTCCGCTCCCGAGACCCGTGCGGGCTGGAAGGCGCTGCCCGGAGAGCCCGGATAGACCACGACTCTCCGAGTCCAGTACCGGCCAGGAAGTCTAATTGCTGAACCTGCCCTGAAATCCACTAGAAGCCAGTGCTCGAGACGCAAGGTACGCCTGCAAGCAACTAGCAATCCTCGTCAGGCCACCTGGGCGCACGCACACATACCGTGAGGATTCCCCAAAGGATATAAACTACGTCGTTTAAACATTCTATATCTGCAAAGTTCTACACTGATAGGTGTCCCCTTTGTGTCGGCGACCAATTTTCTCTCCATCTTTAACAGTTGCTGAGCTGTTTTTGGTCCACTAATATTTATATAGACTACAGTAAAGCTGAACTTTCTCCATAGGAACAAGATTGTGCCTGAAATACTTGTGGTATCACTAAAGACGGTTTAAAAATAAATACCTAGGTGTACTCATTAAAATAAAACAAAACCAACAAAAGCAAACAAATATCTTCATCCAGTTTGTTTTCTGCCCACTTCCTGTAGCCGGACAAGGAAATGTACTAATGGCCAGGTTTAGGGCAGTAGGTGCCCTGTTATTTGAACACAGTGGCAAAAAATAACAATAATAATAATTGGACTGGTGCTTTCTTTAAAAAGACCCCTTAAATTCAAATAGTCTTTGTGTATAAATAAACCTGAATTATAACTAAATGCTAAGGTTATTTCACATCATGACATTTACAGAAGATATTTATTTCCATCCAAGCAAAACAATATAACCAGAATCTCAGCTCCTCAGCCCAGGATTGTGCACGCACCTCCAGTTTATTCGAAATGCTTACTTCAAAACTCATCATAGCCATTTTCTGCCAAATATGATGTAACTATACTTACACTAATTTACCTATTTTAATCTCAACATAGCAAATGCAAAGCTTTTCTCCTTGCTTTTGAATTAATGGGCTTTTACAATATCAAAATAGTAATTAAGGAAGAGCCGACTTTGAAAACAAAGTATTCTGAAATCAGTCTAAATATTACTGCAGGAAAGAATTGAAGGATAATAAACAATAATCAAAGTACAGTTTAAATATATTTTGCTTTAGGAAGTAAAACAATATAATATAATATAATGAGATTATTAATATTAGATTGTAAAACTTTATAATCCATTACTTTCAGACCTTTCAGGAAAAATATAGCCTTCCAAACTATATGGTTGTTAAAGCATGCAAATTTTCAGGAGAAATTAAAGATAATATAATAGACAACACCTCGATTTATTTATTTTTATTTTGTTATATTTACACTTTGCTTCGTTTTACTAACATTTTTACCCAGACACATTTTTAGAGCAATTTGGAATATGTACATTTTAATTCTTCTCAAACTAAATATGTCGGATGATTCTATGACATTTCTTTGGACACCAGAATCCAATTAGAAAAAAGTGTATGATTAAATGATTTGGCTTTAACATTAAAATTGTATTTATTCATGTTTTTGAAGATATGGACTTTCTAAGGACATTCCAAAATTATAGAGACAAGAAATATCCTAACAATGTTTATAAGATCAGAAATTAATTTCTATGCATTCTCAGAGATTATTTTAAATTATTCTTTAAGTTACATTAAAAACATTTTAATAATTTTTTTACCCTCACCCGAGGACATTTTTCCATTTTTTGTTCAGATAGAGTGGGAGGGAGAGGGAGAAACATCCCGGAGGAAGGGACACATGGAGTGGCTGCCTCCCGCAGGACCCAACCAGGGCCAGGGATGAATCGCAACTGCGGTTTGTGCCCTTAGTGGGAACCAAACCCGGGTCCGCAGGCCTTCGCTCTAACCGCTGAGCCAAACTGGCCAGGGCTATTAAAAACATTTTTAAAGTATACATTATGTTAAACTATCAAATTAACGAAATATTGATTTGTTAAAAAAAAAACAGTCAATTATTTTAACCTCTGAAAGACAAAACAACATAAAAAGCAACTGAATGACAGAAGTTGAAATGACCCTCCGCAGTCAGGTAATAGGACGTGAAGTCTGAGGATAAAACCAGTGGGGGAAGAGTGGACACTTCGTTTCCAACCAGACCTTCCTGATAACTATGTGAACGTGATTTTAATCGCAAACCCAGACCCACTCGACCTTTCAGTCGACAAGAAATTTGGGGGCAGAGGAGGCTGGAGGATGAACAAGTCACTTTTGCTGCGTGGACATTTCGCCTCTGGTTGGGAGGAGTATCCCAGCTTGAATCTAGAGAAAGATAAATTATAGAGCTGCCCAAAAGGGGCATTTCCCATCACCGGAGTTTCTCCGTCGATCAGCTACCAAGTGGATTGACTTCTAACAAGACGACTCTGCCCATGACCAAGGAGGTAAGAGGGTCGGGAGTGTAAACGGATGTTCAGGTGGTGGGTTTAAGTTTTATCTGCTTTCCTCCGCTTTTCGCCAAGGAAAAGACTAATAATGCAAGAGGTGCTGTGCTGGCCTGAGCGCCCTTCCAGCCGGGTCCCAGGCGGCACTAGTCCGTGCGCCCGGCGCGCTCTGGAGATGCCAAGGTCTAGGGCCCGCTAGCCTCATGATTTAGAGGGATGTAGGTTCGGAGCACACTCCCCTAACAGTAATCCTCCTTCAGGAGCCGGCTCTTCTCTGGCTGGGTTTGGGAACGGAAGCACACCTCCTGCAAAACAAAATAAATTCCAGAAACCCATCTTCTCTCTCCGCCCAGCCTGAATAATGAGCCGCTTAAGTCGCTTAACTCGTTTTATTGGACGCCTCCAGGTACTAGAATCACTCTGATGAGGCTGATAAACAGATGAAGAAGGCTTGGCCTCCACCTTGGGGGGCCCACCGTGTCCTACATATGCCCCCTCACCAGCTACAGCAGTCTCCAGAAACGCCTCCCCAGATTGAACGGGGGTAAATAACGATTTTGTGGTGGTATTTCCACAATACCAACAAAGATGGTTTTTTTCAAATGGTTATGTCAGGTAGATGGCGACTGAGAACTCACAAAGCCCCAGTCCCTCGTGTAAGCAGACACGGAAACTGGGTCAGAGGGAGCCGAGGCGACAGAAAGCTACCGGTTCTGCCGGAGTTCCAGCGCCCGGGGTCGCAGAGTTCGCCCCCTCTCTCCTCCACCACCTACCGCTAGCTTACCCCCAACACACACACACACACACACACACACACACACACACACACACACACACACACACCCCTTCTCCAGGTTCACTTTCCAGGACTCTCTTCACCGCCGGGCCCTCCGCAGCCCCCGGGAGCTTGGGTGCCCCGAGGCCCACGAGCACACTGGGCCTTTGGCCCTCCCTTGGACATCTGCTTCTCCCCCCCACCCCCACCCCCAAAGAGCACGCACCCCAGGACTCCTACAACAGCTACAGCAAAAGCTGGGAATAGAAGCCCAACCAGAGCCGGCCCCAGTCCCGCGGCGGCGTGGGCACAGCTACCCGGCGACCTGCGGTTCCCGAGCGGCCTGAGCACTGAGCCCTGGCTCCCAGAAGACGACTTGAAAGCCACTATCTCAGAAACTTTCACCTAAACCCAATCCGAAACCCCAGAGGCCAACCTCCACACCCCCACCCTCGCCCCTTAACATCTTGGCCTCAGTTTCCTGTCACCTCAAGGGCTCAGGTCAGCCTTCCGCTCTGTTCCTAGTTCTGTCGGAGAGGGGGTGACCCGCCTTGCGGTGCGGGGAGCCTTGGGAGCTGGAGAGGGAGAGAGGAAAGGCGGAGCAGGGGGAGGTGAATCTTTATAAGTGTGCGGGCAGCTGCCGGGAGCCTTCAGGACCACGCGCAGAACAGTCCCCGTGGATTTTCAATCTCAACCTCTCCCTCTCCTCCTTCCCCCCTTCCCTCCCTCCCTATTCCCCCTCTCTCTCCCTCTCTCCACTTTTTTTTTTAAGAGAGAAAAAATCACCTGGCGCACCTCTAGGTTTGTTTTCCTCTTGTATCCTATCTTTCAGGATCCTTGCGGGAGACCAATAGCGAGGTGGGCAGATGCCAGCGGAAGCGGGGCAGAAGGAGGGCTGTGTGGGCTCCTACGGGATGAAGCTCAGTTGGGACATCAACGATCCGCAGATGCCTCAGGTACCTGACACCACACCGGCATGAGGGCACGTCTGGTCTGTCCATCCAAAGAAATGTGGTGGCATTCAAGTCCTTGCAGAGAATGTGGACAGAGCACACAGACGCACACACCAACAAACACTTTGGAGTCCTCAAATGTAGATGGACTCTACAAATGGCAGAGTTCTCTGAACTCTGCAAAGGGCAGAGTTGGGTTTAGAGATGTATTTTCCACCAGCTCTTTCATTGCATTGTGGGAAAACATTGAAAGCAGTGGACACTGTCAATCAGGCTCCATGTTTCCAGTCGTCTGGAGGGGGATCCTCCTCCCTCATTTTCCTTTAACCAAGGCAGAAATCAAGTCATTCTCTTTCTTCATTATTTGAAATCCATGAGAAAGGTACGTAAGAGTCTCAGCAAAGGTACATACCACTGCTTCACATGCAGCAAAACTCTGAGATGGGACTGTAATCTTGAACAAGCAGCATGATTTAGGCAATTTATTCTGATGCCCATGGGCTGCCTGGACGAAGCAGGGCTCCTAGGAAACTCCACAGTCATGCTAATCAGGCCACGGATGCCCAGAAGGCCTCTGAAATCCGGATTCTGAGCATAGCTTCTGCGCTTACTTCAATGACAAGAAAGTCTCTGTCCTTTTAGAGTGGATTTGTTTTGTTTTGTTTTAATGGAACAAACTGGTTTGGAGCCAAGTCCAGGGAATGTATGCTTTCTCATGCTGGTTTGGGGCAAAAACTGAGGAGTGACTTTAGGTGGAGATGGAGGGAGAATGGGAGTGGCCTCCCAAGCATTTGCAGAAGTGTTCTTCTCACACTGTTGTGGCACTAAAATGAAAGATTTGTCATTTATTCAGCATCTACTATGCGTCATATAGGTGTTCAGAGAGGTAGTAATTCATTAGCAAAGTTGGTAGCTAAGAGATCTCTCTCTAAGAGATCAGCCCTTTTTTGAATGTTGTTTTTGTAGAAAGTTTGTTCGTTTTGTTTGTTTTAAAGTCTGTCTACTTTACAGTCACACTGTACCATTTTTTTGTGAAAGTGGACCACGGGTACAGCAAGAGAATCTCATTCTCACTGACTTCAGTCCACATACATTTTCATAGGAAAAAAGTTAATCTTGCATTTGAGAACCATATCTGAATAATAAAAAGAAGGTTTCCTTTTGGAAATTGGTTCTTAAGCAGGTAATGAGTGTGATGTCTCAGAAGGGGCAG